TATTATAGAGTTCTCGATATAAATCCGTATAAGTCATAGGGATTGGATCAAATACAGGTTTTTCTCGAGTAATCTGTTGCTCTCATAAACCACTTGTTGGTTAGTAGGGTGAATTTGGGCTCTTGCAGGAGTTTGAATGTTATGGCTATATGTAAAATCTTGAGGGCTAAAAATTGATCGGTATGTGGATGAATAAGGTGATTATGGAGCTAGCTGGTATGGGTAGGATAAGGCATTATTCACAGCAGGATAGTATGGAGAGTAACCTTAGAGTGGATAGGGTTGATAACCCCTGAATTATTGTCTATCAAAGCTCTAACATTAAATGAGTTAGAAATGTTGTAACACATTAATAAAAGGTTGTAATAGTTATAAACATAACGAAAAGTAGTAACAAGCATAAAAAAAATATTATTGCAACAAAAATAATTAAGTTGGTAATGTAAAAGAAATATTATTACAAATAAAAAATAATTTTAAACAAAAAATAAAAGTTAATGTAAAAAAGTGAGAATAATTGTAAAATTAATATTATTTAACGTAAAATGGTTACAACTATTGTTACACTTTAATAAAACATTGTGATAATTTTAAACATAATTAGAAATAACAAAAAGTGTAAAAAAAATATTATTAATATGTAATAATTAAATTGGTAATGTAAAAAATTAGTATTATAAATAAAAAATAATCCTACACCAAAAAATAGGTGTAAAAAGATAAGAATAATCGTAAAATTGGTATATGTTGATGTAAAATGTGTTAGAAATGTCATAATACAATAAAAAAGAAGTTATAATAATTTTAAACATATTAAAAGATAAGAACAAGAGTAAAAGATATTATTATAATGTAAGAATTAAGCTGATAAAAAATTATTATAAATAAAAGTTAATTCTAAAAATAAGTTTACGTAAAAAAGTGAGAGTAATTGTAAAATTAAAATCATTTGACGTAAAATATGTTAGAAGTGTCGTCACGTAAAAAGATAAAAATAGTTGTAAAATTGGTGTTATTTGACATAAATTAGATTAAAATTATTGTAACACTTTAACAAAGAGTTGTGATAAACTTAAATGTAATAAAAAGTAATAATAAGTGTAAAAAATTATTATTGTAACATAAAAAATATTTTTGGCAACATAAAAGAATTATTATTACAAATAATTAATAATTCTAAACAAAAAAAAAGTGTTAGTATAAAAAATGTGAGAGTAATTATAAAATTAGTATTATTTGACATAAAATAGTAAAAAGCATCATAATACCTTTAAAAAAAAACATTGTAATACTTTTAAACATAATGAAAGTTAATAACAAATATAAAAAATATTATTATAACATAAATAATTAAGTTGACAATATAAAAAAATAATTATTACAAACAAAAAAAAATTAAATAAAAAACTAGGAGTTAACGTAAAATAGTGAAAATAGTTATAAAATTAGTATTATTTAATGTAAAATAGTTAAAAGTATCGTTATACCTTAAGAAAAAAATTGTAAAAATTCTAAACATAATAAAAAGTAACAACAAATGTAAACAAATATTATTGAAATGTAATAAATTGGTAACATAAAAAAATTAGAATTATAAATGAAAAAATAATTCAATTAAAAAATAAGTGTTAATATAAAAATGTGAGAATAATTATAAAATTGGTATTATTTGGTGTAAAATATATTAAAAATGTCCTAATACCTTAAGAAAAACTTGTGATATAATTCTAAACATAATAAATGGTAAGAATAAACGTAAAATATTTTATTGTAATGTAAATATAAGTTGACAATATAAAAAATTTATTATTATAAATAAAAAATAATTCTAAAAAAAACATATTAACCTAAAAAGGTGAGAATAATTGAAAAATTGAAGTCATTTAGTGTAAAATATGTTACAATGTTGTAACGTAAAATGTTAAGAATAATTATAAAATTGGTGTTATTTGGCATAAATTGTATTGGAAGTGTCATAACACTTTAACAAAAAGTAGTGATAATTCTAAACATAATAAAAAAAAAACAAGTATAAAAAATATTATTACAACATAAATAATATTTTATGCAACACAAAAGAATTATTATTACAAATAAACAATTACTCTAAACCACAAAATAAATGTTAATATAAAAAAGGTGAGAGTAATCATAAAATTGATATTATTTGATGTAAAATATTTAGAAGTATTGTAACACCTTTAAAAAAAGTTATGATAATCTTAAAAGTAATAAAACGTAACAACAAGCGTAAAAAAACTTGTTATAATATAAATAATTAAATTGGCAATATAAAAAAAATTATTATTACAAATAAAAAATAATTTAAACAAAAAATAAGAATTAATATAAAATGGTGAGAAAATCGTAGAATTTGTATTATTTTACGTAAAATGGTTAGAAGTTTTGTTACACCTTAACAAAAAATTGTAATAATTTTAAACATAATTAAAAGTAACAAAAAATGTAAAAAGATATTATTGAAATGTAATAGATTTGTAATGTAAAAAAATTAGTATTATAAAAAAATAATTCTAAATAAAAAAATAAGTGTTAAAGTAAAAATATGAGAATAATCATAAAATTGGTATAATTTGATATAAAATATGTTTGAAGTATTGTAATACTTAAGAAAAAGTTGTGATAATTCTGAATATAATAAAATGCAAAATAAGGTTAACAAAATTTATTGTAATGTAAATAATTAAATTGACAATATAAAAATTATTATTTTAAATAAAAGATAATTATAAACCTAAAAATAAGTGTTAACATAAAAAAGTGAGAATAATCATAAAATTGATATAATTTAACGTAAAATGTGTTAAAAGTATCATAGCATAAAAAGGTAAAAATAGTCATAAAATTAGTATAATTTGGTGTAAAATATATTAGAACTATCGTAACAATTTAAAGAAAAGTTGTAATAATTATAAATATAATGAAATATAAGAACAAGCATAAAAAAATTATTTTAATGTAAATAATTAAGTTGACAATGTAAAAAAATTATTATTATAAATTAAAAAATAATTTAATAAAAAAAGTTTTTATGTAAAAATATAAGAATAATCGTAAAATTTGTATCATTTGGCCTAAAATATATTAGAAGTGTTGTAACACCATAAGAAAACAGTTGTGATACTTTTAAACATAATAAAATATAAGAACAAGTGTAAAAATATATTATTATAATGTAAATAATTAAATTGGAAATGTAAAAATTATTATTATAAATAAAAAGTAATTTCAAACCAAAAAATAACTGTTAATGTAAAAAAGTAAAAAAAAAGTAAGTATAACCGTAAAATTGATATCATTTGATATCATAATACCTTAAGAAAGAGTTATAATAATTCTAAACAAAACAGAAAGTATGAACAAGCGTAACAAAAAATTAAAGTAAATAATTAACTTGACAATGTAAAAGAATTGATATTTTTAAATTAAAAGATTCTAAATAAAAAATTGTTAACATAAAAAATTGAAAATAATTATAAAATTCATATCATTAGATGTAAAATGAGTTTAAAATATCTTATCCTTAAAAAAAGTTTTAATAATTATAAATGTAATGATAAAAAAAGTATAAAAATATATTATTAAACGTAATTAATTAAGTTAATTTCGTAAAATAAATTGATATTATAAAATTAGAAACTATATCATTTTTCATTTGTTAAATTAATAAATTAAATAAAATTATGTATACCTTTTTTAATGTTTACCGTTCTTCCTTTTTTCTTAAAAGTTATATTATTTTTATAATTTATCATAATACATCATGAGATATTAAGATATTTTATGACCTTAGATTAAGGTTGATATATTGTGACTTTGTTATAGACAAACCCATGAGATTATTAATTGATATGGCAATAAGTCTAAACTCATTGGCAAAGAAAATTTGGAAGCTTATGTGACATGATGACTTAATAGGTTTGTCCAAACTTGGAAAAGTCCAAACAACCATTGATTTTCTTTCTCAATTTTAAAATCCTTACCTTAATTTGGAAATCCTACTTTAATTTGGTATTCCTACCTAGGGTAACATTTGCATGCAATTTAAAAGGATTCGAATAAAGGAAGTGGCATACTAAAAAGAGTAAAATTAGAATTTAAATTCCCTTTTCTTTATGAAGACTTCTTGTAGAAGCCTAATTCCAAGAAGTTTCTAAGAAGGAACAAGATCTATTCCAACTTTATGAACACTTTCTAGAAGACTTTTAACTTCTATTTTTCAAAAAGATTTAGCCAAACCTGCATCTTCAATTTTAGAGATTTAACTCTTTAAGAACTCATCAAGAACGTGTCCAAAAAAAATAAGCAACAAAAAAATTTAAAACTTCTAAAACTGCTTAAAATCAAGAAAAAAAGAGATTTACATTCAAGAAAGCAACTCAAAGTTAGGACTTTAAGAGCTACTTAGAGAGATTTTAAAAGAAAACAAGATTATTCTTAACAAAAGAAGGCTAGTCGTGCAACACTCTTATCATGTAAGTGTTAAGTTAGCAAGATTTATCTAAAAAAGATAAAGAAAAGACAAGTTAGCACTTAATTTAGCATATTTGATCTATATGCATTCACGTGAAGATGAGTAAAATATCCATTAAATATTTAATCCAAGAAAATTATTTCATTCAAGATACCAAGCATGATAGAATCACACTACTTCAAGAGACCAAGATTGAGTCAACTGCATTTCTCTAGGATTTTTTGTAATTTTTTTTACTTATAAATAGCTGGCTTAGGCATTAAGGATGAGCATAGTTAGGGTGATAACCCATATTATAACTTTACAGGTTTTTTTTATTTATTTTATTATTTTTAAGTTCTTTTTAGTTTTAAAGTTTGGGGTGATAGACTAGTAGTTATTCTTTTAAGCTTTCTTCTTTTTTTTAATTTTCAATTTAATTCAGTTTTTTTAAATTAATTTAAATTTTTGCAAGTTCAATTTAAGTTTTTCAAGGAATGTAAATTCTATTTTGATTTAATTTAAATTCAAGCTTTTTAATTTTCTATTCTTTCTATTTATTTTAATTTGCTGTTTTAATTATTTTCAAGTTCAGTTCATGCAATTTAAGGTTAATTTAGTTATGCTCTAATTTGATTTAATATTTCTCAAGTTAAATTTATTTGCAGAAATTATGATTTCACATTGTTAGATTAGGGTTATTGTTTTTGGATTTTTTTAGTTGAATTTACTTAAGTTAAATTCTATTAAGTGTTATTTAAGTTTATTTGTCTTGTTTATGTTTCATGCGTGATATATTAGGGTTAATTTACTGTTTTGAAGTTTAATAAATTCATTTAATTTAGTTTAAGTTTTGGTTCATGTTAGTTTAAGTTGTTTAATTCAATTTTAATTTAACCTTAGGTTTTTTATGTTTAATTAATTTTGTTAGGTTGTTGTTTAGTTTATTAATTAAGTTTCAATTTTTAATTTAAATTTTAGCATGTTAAATGATTTTTTAGTTTGTGATTTAGATTCATTTTTACTTGTTACAAGTTTAATTGTTATTGCATGCCTTAATTTTATCTTTATTTACAATTTTGATTTATTTAATTTGTTGTTTAAGCTAATTATTTGTTTTTGTATATTTAAATTTCAGTTTTAAGTTATTAGCCTATTTAATTAGATTTTTGTATAAATTAATTTTTTATTTTAATTAGTTAAATATTTAATTTAATTCATACACTTTAATTTTAATTTATCTAAATATAATTAAAGTATTATAATTTTGATACTTAATATTAACTTTATTTATAATTCTTATAAAAATGATTTTTAATTTCTATTTGTATAATTTACGCGAATGCAGATTCTCGATAAAAAATTACAAACCTAAACCATTACAATGCAGGGACCGTGAGGAAGGGGCAAACTAGTCAAACCAATGATAATCAATGACAGCCGGCTGGAGCACAAAAAAAAAAAAAAAGGTTACAGGGCGTCGAACGGGGTACCTACGAATATTTTCCTTTCTGAAAGCCACGTTATCGAACGAAAATCACTCTCCTATCTAACTCACTAGTGCCCACCACCCCAATAATAAGGAAAGCAAAGAAAAGTAGCAGACGTGGATTCATAGATCACCACGAACCTTCCGAAAACGGATCCTCAGAACACGCTACGATCGTAGGAATCACCGAAACCCACCCCCCAACTTCAGCCAGCAGCAGACAGCAACAACAGAAGCCCTCTTTTTCTTTCCTATGGCCACTGTGGCGCGTGCAATCCACTGTGAGCTACTGTCCAATAAACCTGGCGCAACCCCTAGGAGAGAATTGGGTGGTCAGGTTCCGGTTCTTGTTCAAACAGTGAAAGTGGGTGAACCTGAGAATGTAAAGATAGTGTTGCAGCCAAGGTTGTGTACGTTAAGATCGTATGGCTCGGATGGACGAGCGGTGATGAAGACGAGAAACGAAGAGGTTCGACAGGGTAATGAAGAATCGTCTTTTTTTAAGACTTTGTCGGTGTATATAGAGAGTTCCAAGAAGAGCCAAGACTTCGAGATTATCTCTGGTCGCCTCGCCATGGTAATTAAGTTCTTTCACTGCTAAACTGTGTACTGCTTTTTTGTTTCTGTAAAAGAGTTTTCTTTTTTTTTTTTGTATTGAGCTCAAGTGATCAAACACGTGTGTGTTCGGAGTTTGATCGGAAAACTCATAGTTTGAACTGGACAAGTGAATGTTATTCTTGCTCTGTCTGAGTTTCATGTACAAATGAATCAGCTCTATTTCTTCAAAGGGTTCTCAATTTCTTATTTGATTGCAGTGTGCACTACAGTACCAAAGATAATGCACAAAATTTTCAACTTATTGCTGTGTGTTAATCAAGATTTTGAAGCATTGTCAAACGAGTAAACAATCTAATGGTTTGTTTTTTTGCAGATTGTGTTCGCAGCAACAGTAACAACAGAGTTTGTAACGGGAAACTCCCTATTTAGGAAGATGGAGTTGCAAGGGATTGCTGAAGCTGTCGGTGTGTGCCTTGGGGCTATGGCTTCTGCTGCTGCATTTGCTTGGTTATCCAGTGCTCGGAACAACGTTGGTCGAATCTTCACTCTCAGTTGTAACTCATTTATTGATTCAGTGATCGACCGGATTGTTGATGGATTGTTCTATGAATCTGATCCTAATGACTGGTTTGATGATATTTGAAATCATGAATTGTAATTCAAGCAGGGTGTTTGACTGTCTGTTTAGGCGGAATCTCCTTTTCAAGAAACAACAATATGTGGAGATGCTGGAAGTACTTAGGTGTTGTTAGTACTGCAAACCTTATACGATCAGAGGGCTTGCAAATGAAGGGAGATGGGATTGAAGCGGTAGTTGCTAGTGTCTGCCTATTCTCATGTGAGATTATGGATGTTAATTTTTGCATAAACATTACGAATTATAGTAATCAGCTAGTGGAGTTATGCTTAAATTGAGAGTTGAACTTCTTGCTGTGTCATTTTTCTTGAGTCAATTGTAGTTCAATGCTCTAAGATTCTGCTTGGAGAATGCACTTAGCACTGCCGTAGATAAGGAGTCCTTATAACTCATCACCTATTTCGGGATGTTATGAGCATGAATCTTCCTTTGATCGTTCAAGCTTTCGAGTTTTAGAAATCGATTTACTACTGGACGTTTTCGGCACTTATCATTACCATTAGCAAGCTGTGAGCAGCCTAATTCTTGGTCACAACAATGGAAGTGTTACAAATAGTGCCTCTGCTTCGGCATGTTGAGTACTTTAACGTGCACCGTGTGATTGAAATTAATTGTTCAAATTGTCAATCTTTTTAACTACAAAAGGTGAAAGAAAAACAAGACACCAAGTAATAACAATTCATAAATAACTAATGCTGCCAGAATCTCATGCACGAAAAATACATTTGCAATTCAAAATTTTTATTTGCTTCTCTCTTATCTTGAATTTATTAAAATCAATGTTAGAAAAATGTGTAAAATTTAAAAAGTTTTACACTGTGAAAGTTAATTTCTCCACACATATATTTTCTCATTTTTCTTTTTTCTCGAGATATTCTTTTCATTTTTCAAACACCTAATATTTTTTACTTTTTTCAATCACCTAATACTTCTTATTTTTCATGTTTCATATTAAAATTTCAAAATATTTTTTTATATAAAAATCATAGAACATCAATTTTATGAAAAAAATTAAAATTTTAATGTAATTAAAATACATAAAAATCAAAGTTTTTTTTAATCTTCGTAAAAGTAAAAAAATATTAAAAAATTAAAAAAGAAAAAATATTATCATATACATTGACCATAGTCAATAAAATTTTTAAATTGCAAAAGTATGCATGTTACACAGTTAATAAATTTTCAGTAAGATATATTTAAAAATAATAAATTAATTAATTATTAAATAAAAATATAACAACCATGTAATTCCACTATTACATCACTGATATAAAGAATGTTAAACACAATTGTCATGAACAGTTTTCATATTCTTAAAAGTTTTGTATAATTTTCATCGGTAAATATCAGATGCATTTCTATGGCATACATAATCAAAAGATTATTCATCAAACTGGCCAAGTGCAATCAATTTTTTTTTTTTTTGGCCAGAGCAATTCCCTATATGTTTAAGTAACAAATTTTTTATTATTTCGTTATTGAAAAAATTTGTATTGAAGTCTAAATTTGAACGACGAAAAGTAATTTTAGTTTTAAAAATTAGAGAATAAACAATAATATTTTACTTGGCTTCGTTACATTCTTTAGCTATCCATTAATAAAAAAAAATCTCTGTGAATTTCATTCACTAGCTATATTATTGACCCTAATTGATTTGACTATATTATATATTAATACTCAACTCCACTTGTGTGTTGTCACATTACCGATCTCAATTTCGAATAAAGGAATAGAATTGCGATAGGTTGATAATTAGTGCAAACTATAGTCAAACTATGATAAAGGACCAAAACAAAAATTCTCATTGGGGTCGTTGTCTCCCAGCGATGCGCTACATCGGAGTTTGGATGTAGTGTTAAATATGTAAGGGTTGCTAGGTCGTTGTTCAGAAGCGATGCATCGCATCATCGCCTCGATGCAGTGTCAAATAGGCAAGGTGGATGAACACGAGTAAAAAAACTAATTCATAGGGGTAAGTTATGCTTAGCTACTTGGAATATAAGATTATTAATTATTAAGCTTGTAGAGATAAGTGATGCAAAGGCTAGAGGAGGAATTAATATTATGTGTCTCTAAAAAACTAAGTGGGTAGGGGAAAAGGCTAGAGAGATAGATACATGGCGCTCTAAGCTTTGGTACATAAAGAAAGAGAGGAGTAAAAATGGAGTAAGGATAATTATTGATAAGAATTTGAGGGATGATGTGGTTGAGGTTAAAGAAAAAGAGATAGAATTTTACTTGTTAAACTTTTTTTAGAAGAGAAAACTGTGAATGTCATTAGTGTTTATGCCTCGCAAATAAGTTTGGATCAAGGAAAGTAAGCAAAAATTTTAGAAAGATTTAGATGAGACAATGTAAGCCATATCATACAGAGAAAAATTGTTTATTAGCAGAGACATAAATGGTCATGAGGCAAGGATGGTAATGACTTTGAGAGGGTATATGAGGTATATGTATTTGGAGAAAAAAACAAAATTAGAGAGACTATCCTAGAGTTTGTTACTGCATTTGACCTAATGATATTAAACACGTGTTTTAGGAAAAGAGAATCACACTTGGTGACATTTAGGAGTGGATTAAATGCTAGTTAAATTGATTTCTTTTTTATGAGAAAAGATGATAAAAATAGTTATAAGGATTGCAAGGTTATACCATGTGAGAGTGTGGCCACACAACATAGACTATTAGTACTCAATCTATTCCACTTCAAGGGGTCAAAAAAGAGACATCAGAGTCATGAACCATGTATTAAGTGGTGAAACTTAAAGAGGGACAAAATAGCAACATTTAGGGATAGACTAGTAAAAGAAATTTATTGGAAGCTTGATGAGGATATAGAAGTAATGTGGAAAAATATTACAGCTAGAATTCAAAAGGTTGCTAAAAAAACACTTGGGGAATCTAAGGGTAAGGCACCATTAGAAAATGAATCTTGGTTGTGGAATGATGTGTGAAAAAGACAATTAAAGCTAAGCGGGAGTATTATAAAAATTTATGAAACAATAGGGAATCAAAAGTATAAGACAGCAAAAAAGCAAACCAAAAAAGCTATTTCAGACTCAAAGAGTAGGATCCATGAGGAGTTATATACAAAACTAAAGATAAGAGTTTGAGAAAAAGAACTGTTTAAAATTGTCAAGATGAGGGATAAAAAGAGTAGAGATCTTAATGACGTTAGATGCATCAATGGTAAAGACGAAAAAATTTTAGTAAATGATGACGAATTAAAAAGAGATGGAGAGATTATTTTGATAATTTTTTTAATAACAGTTTCGAACATGATATAGATAGGTTGAACATACCTTTTCATGATGTAAATCGTGTATTTAAGCGTAATATTAAAAGATATGAGGTTAAAGAGGCTTTGAGAAAGATGAGATTAAAGAAAGTTGTAGGACCAGATGGAATCATGATTAAAGTTTGAAAATGCTTGGGTGAAATAAGGATAAAATGGTTAATGGATCTTTTTAACAAAATTTGACACACCCAAAAGAAGCCAAAAGAATAGAGGAAGAGCACTCTTATGCTTTTATACAAAAATAAAAGTGATGTACAAGATTGTTCGAACTATCGATAAATAAAACTTATGAGTTATACTATAAAACTTTGAAAGAGAGTAATTAAATGTAGATTACGATGTGAGATCACTATTTTTGAAAACCAATTTGGGTTTATGCCAGAACGCTCCAAAACAAAGGCAATCCACCTTTTAAGGCTTTTATTAGATTTGGGTGAGAAAGAAAGATTTACATATAGTATTTATCAACTTAGAGAAAACATATGATAGAGTTTCTTAAGAAGTGATTGGTGGGCCTTAATGAAGAAATGAGTCTCTTTAAAATACATTAACATAGTTAAAGATATGCATGAAGGAGTGGTAACAAATGTGAAGATGATTAGAGGCATGACAGATAGTTTTCCTATTACCTCAGGATTACATCAAAGCTCAACACTAAGTCATTTCCTTTTTGCATTAGTTATGGACAAGCTCATTGGATGTATCCAAGATAAAATGCCATGGTGTATGTTATTTACCGACGATATAATCTTAGTTGTTGAAACTTGTGATGCCCTTAATACAAAATTAAAATTATGGAAGAGTACATTGGAGTCTCGAGGTTTTAAATTGAGTAGATCTAAAATTGAATATATGAAATGCAAGTTTAATAGTTATAAGGAAATGGGTACTAGTGTGATTAAGTTGGATGGTGAAAGAGTACCAAAGAGTAGCCAGTTTCAATATTTGGGATGAATTATTAGTGTGATACTGAGATAAAAATAGATGTCAAATATAGGATTTAAGTAGAATAAGTGATGTGGCAAAGTGCATTGAATGTGTTATGTGATCGCAATATACGTTTAAAGTTAAAAGCAAAATTGTATAAAATAACTGTAAGACCTGCATTACTATATGAACTAAGTATTAGGCTATTAAGAAACAATATGAGAAGAAAATGAATGTAGCAGAGATGAGAATGCTTGGATGGATGTATGGTAAGACTAAAAGAGACAGAATTAGAAATGAAAAGATTTGAGAAAAATTAAAGGTAGTTTGAATTGAAGAGAAGATGAGAAAGGGCGTTTGCAAAGGTTTAGACATGTGAAATGCAGGCTTAGTTGTGCACTGGTTAGGAGCATTGAGTCCTAGATCTATGAGAGATCAAAACATTTAAAGGTAGACCACGAAATATATGAATGCAAGTAATAAAAAATGATATAATGATTAAGGAATTAGATGAAAAAGGTGGTTGTTGATAGAAATTAGTGGTGTAATAAGATTTAAACTACAACCTAACTTGATTCTCTTATTTGGTTTTTCATACAACCAACCACAGAGTATGGGATATAAGGCTTAGTGTATTGTTGTTGTTATATATTAATGCTCAAATTAATTAATTTTTGATGAGGTCAATTTATTTTCTAATTTTTTTCAATGGAATCGATTTATAAATTATCCTATAATAATTCAATAACACTATGTATTATAATTTAGTCGACACGAAAAACACAAAATATATTTTTTAGTTGTCATTAAACCCATATATAGTTTTGTTAAAGTTTTAAATTGTGTTACTTTCGTGTGTTTTTTTCTTTTAATCTTATCACCGCATTATATTTTAAATTATCATATTTACATTATAATATTCTCTTTTCATGATTTTTTTTAAAGAGAAAAGTGTTATTCTTGATTGAAAGATAGAGGATAAGATGCACGATTGCAATTTTCTTAGTCACCTTTTTGATGCTTTACATTGATGTAACACGGATGCTGTTCTTTTTACCAGGAGGAATGCTTGGAGCCAAAGCAACAAGCTTTAGGTTGAGCTCCATGAATACGATTGTGGCATAAGCTGTTTACAATAGGAATGCCATTGCAATCTGATGGTGGACCTGGCAAATTGTTACTCCTTCATTCTCAGGTGTTTGCTCGAAGCTATTTACAATAGGGAATGACAATTATCGTCTCTGTCTGAACCATTTAAAATAAAGGAGTTGGTTAAGTACTCCTTTGTGTTTGTGTGTGCGCGTATTTTATACATGTAACTAGTGATTTCTTCCTTGCCAAGTTATGCTTTGCACATTGTTGAAATCTAAGAAGTTGTAAACGTTTGTCAGTATAATGAATTGATGAAAGTTGGGACCTTATGTAAGATGTTTTTGTGCTCATAATTTCATTCTTCATTTCTACTAATTAGGCCTTTCGTGTTTCAGTGGAATTGACTATATGACATGAAGCTAATGGAAAATCTAGGAAGCAGAATTACCTCATATCTTTTTTTTTTTCTTTCGTTAAGCGCATTTCATAGTTTATTGGAGCAGTGAATTAAATTTACAATTTTCTAATACATTCAAGTATTTGGTTCAATAATTGGTGTTGTATATGTTTTATTGATCAAACAGACTCGAGCATGAGGTATATGTATTTAACTGATCGAAGAGCTGGAGCTGAATTCAATCCTTCTTTTCTTGAAAATGAAAACTGTTAATACTATAATCCTGCACCATATTTGGGACCATATTTATAACTTTGTCAATACCATAATCCTGCAATGGCCATGTCACCTTCCTTCTTTAGACACCCCTCAATTTGATCCAATGCCTAACAAGATAGTAGTATCATTTAGCCAACATCTTTTAGCCAACATCTTAAATTGAATAACAGGATCAAAAAATTAGGGGAGGGACGGAGAGAGAGTGTTGATGGTTTTCTGAGTTTGGTGACTTGGTGACTGTTGGAAAACTGGTTGAATGGTTGACTGGGAAGTTCTTTTTGATCGAATTGACTTGAAAGTTGGAGTGATCTGTAATAGAAAAAACGATGAGGGCGACTTGGACCTTACCTTTTATAATAAGTTTGTGTTAACTTGGTTAATTCATTTACTTTATATTAATTAAGTGTTGGACTAACTTAGTCAACAGATGTTGACTTGGTGATACGTTGCTGATTTGGTGATCAAGATATTGACTGGTCGATCAGATATATCAGAGAGAGAACTCCATTGTGATATTTGTTGGAGTAATGTCTTATACACCTTTGCAGCCTAGTTTGCCTGCAATTTCTGAAAAATTGGAACATTTGGGCTATCAAAGGAAAAATCATCCGCCGAACATGCCCATGTCAAATGAAGATACAAGGGGAATAGGACGGAAAAAGGAAAGTAAAAAGATCATTACATTCTTTTATTCGTCAAAAAATGTAAACAAGTTGGAAGTAATAAGGAGCAATGCACTACAAGCAGTCAGGTCTCAGAGAGGTTTCACAAGATCTTGTCCCCACGAAACATAAAACGTTAGTGTGAGACAGGTTCAAGTTTACATTCCTTCCAAGGAAACCCCGGCATTTACATTGTAAATGTAAATGATTCAATTAACGTAATTTTTCATTCCAATGATTCTTACTAAGAAGTTTAATACCAGTAATTGATGTTAAAGGAAGCCGTAAACTAAAGATAAAAAAAAAAAAATTGTAAATATTAAATTTTGAATTACTTATTAAAAATAATATTATAAACCAAAATAATTAAATTCAATTAGATTTTAAATGTTCAGTTACATTGTAAATATTAATTGTAGTAATAGTTAATCAAGATATCGTTGACTCTCATGCTATAAGTTTAATTCTTTGTGTATAGACAAATTAAGTTCGGAAAAAAAATAAAAATATAAAGAACGAGAACACTTTACTCTTTATTTTCTTTTAATGTGTCTTTTCCAAAAAAATTTATGTCAGATCATTTGTAATTTGATACTGATTTTGAGTTTCAAATCGGGAAATTTTGGGTTTGTATCCTTTCATTTTCTTATCAAATTAGGTTTTCAAGTTTAGATCATTTCCTATTTTAAATTGTTGTTCCTTTTAAAGTTACTTTAGATTTTGTCAAGTCAGTCTTTGGACATATCAAATTGGGCAATTAGAGTTTGCTTAGGATTTTGTCCAATCAGATTTCCGACAGATCATATCATATTCTCTCCCTCTTGGCCTCCGTATCTACAATGAAACTCTTGCTGGTTCTCAGTCTCCCCTCGAGAGAGATCAATTGCTTCGACACCTCTTGTACCCCCAAAAGATTGGGTAGTTTGTATTCGTTTTTGCCACTTTTGTAATCAACTCAGAGATCATGTATATGACAATCATTTTTCACACCTAACCTGAATGATGTGACTGGTCAAATCAGGTAATTTGAGTTGGCTTTTGCTACCTCTGCCTATATTCCCTGGTCAAACCCCACCTAAATCCCAAATACTTATCAGCTTGGCTAACTTATGAACTTATCTAACTGTTGGTTTGTCAGCTACCAATGGTCATATTGCATGTTTTTAATGGATACTCAATGAACTAATCACTCCTTGTCCTGAGTGCTCACATTCTTGATCAATAAGTTAGAAGATAAGATCAAACTCTCTCAACTAATGGAGTTTGAATCTAGATTTTGAAGCTCGTAAGATTTTCTTATACTGGACAAAAAACTAGAATCAAAGTGATTATATTTGCTCTTCCATTAAACCCCCATAACTACCACCTAGCAGATTCAATCTTTGGGTCACAAGTTGCACGGTAAATATTTCAATGAAAAAGAGAAAAGGTTAGAAATCTTCTCCTTGTCATCCTGTTTCAAGTGGCAAGATTTGCTGTTTATTACTGTTCCTTGGTAGATTCCAAATCTATTCATCTGTCATTTTTCGTTTGGATCTTCCAATCATGACTTACTTTATTAGTTTGTATTCAGATTTTCTTTTAAAAAATTATTGTTTCACCAAATTAATAAAATTGATGTCTTAATGCTTAACAGGGACTTGAAATCCCTCAATATTGATCCAAGGTCCAACATTAAAAAAAAAAAAAAAGAATCTCATAGCATGACTAAAGTGTCCTCCCAAGGCATCAATACTAGTTTGAAAGAATTTTCGATAGTGGTTTCATGTCTCTACTTTCAAAATGATTTGACCTGAAGTCTTGAAGTTACAGCTTCCTTGCAGCCGCCACCAATCCCATATCAGTTACAATGAGGACTTACTGCTTTAGAATCAACGGTCTTAGACAACTAATACTGTTGGCTTCAAATTAAGGTGGATTTTTTTGTTTGCGGGTGAAAGAGTTAATGTGGTTTTGGTTGGATAGATATCAGTATCTAGATAAGCTCGCATCAAGATGGATTCTTGTTTTGCGGGTGAAATAATCAATGTAAAATGGAGAAAATTGTAACAAATCCCATTCTAAAAACAGATAAAATGATCTTCAACTTATAAATCATAAAGTTTTTTCCACTTGATAATATATTTTTTGAATTGAAAACGTGAGCCACGGCGAGGATGCAGAGAGCTTTATCTCGAGACACAGTTCAAATGCTGCATCATTTTCGATTATTTTCAAATTGAGTAGTTTGCATGTGCCGATTGGTCTTTTCATTTTAAGAAAAGGTTCAAAGCTCTTATCTCCACATGGGCTGTTTCAGATATGGTGAACTAATGAGTGGGAGCCCACACAATAAGATCCATTATTTTCCTTCAATAATTCATATAGAATGTTTGGAGTCCCTCATATGTAGATCTATACAAGTTGTCGGGGAAGTACTAGATTCGATCAGAACATAAAAAATGTTTAAACTTTCTCATCATCTTTGATCTTTTTTTTTTCCTGATCTATGACATGAGGGACGCCTTGATTTTCAAGGCCATGACCTCATGATTGTTTGGGAGAGAAAGATTATCCGTCTCATCATATTTTTTTTGGTTTTAAGTAGTATTTAGTTTATATATATATATATATATATATATATAATATGCAGTACCTGTCAAAGAAATGAAAGATCTTGTGGCATGTGGAGTTTTGCCGGTATGGGAACAGGAAAATGAAAGCAACATGAAAATTGGAAATGGAAAGGATTGGGACAATGGAAATGGAAAACACTCATACAGCGCTTTACTGATAAGGCCTTGAACAGTCCCGATAATGAATAAGAACATATTTTGATTGTCTTCCAGTTTTCCAATTATCTCTAGAATCTACGGGGTGATGAATTGATCAAAGCTGATATTGAAGTTGGATCTGATCATTGCGAAATTGCTTTAAGGTTGATAGCAGAGCAATCTTTCTTCTGCTCATCAAATTTAGCAAGTACTTTCTTCATGGAATTTTCATCATATGCTGATGTCAAGTTTGTGCCTCGAGAAAATGCTTGTCTTTGTCGACAGCTTAAGGGATAGGCAAATGAGAAAAGAAAAGAATTTTTTTCTCTAATAACAATAAAAATTAATTAATATATAAATTAATTACATTAAATGAACAAGTACATATTTTTCCGATATCACACATATACAGCAATCACCATACATGTTTCCATGATTTAGGGAGGCAGACCCTTTGGTGAACCTCTTCAAGACCCACTAATTAGGAGCAGGATCAATTATTTCTAATGACCTGCCTTGCCTTCAACAGCCGTTGACAAAGGGGATTATTAGTAGTTTCTTTTAGTAAAGTTATACAGTTGACAAAGATGTAAATCCTTTAGCCTCTTTGCTAGATGCTTGAGAAGCCATTTTTGTACTGTTGTTATGCTGCCTGTAATACTTTGAGCTGAATGAACTGTTTCTTCTGTGCCTATGCTTCCTTCTTGGCTGTGATGACTTTGGGATAAAAACTCCTGTGCCTTTGCTTTCTCTTCTCCAGATTTGCTCTTGAAGAAATGGAGATTGTGCTATTATTGGGTAATTTCCACCAGAGAAGCCCTGAAAATTTTGACATTATTACAACTTAGTCCAATACATTTTGTGAAAGAGAAAATGTTGTTTGCTGTGAATGAAAAGCATGTAGATGGCAACCAAAAAAAAAAAAAAAAACCTGGAAAGAAACTGAAGGACATTTGGCAACTGGATGCTCATCGTCATCCATGATTAGCAGAGAGATTTCCTTGCTTAAGTCTGCAAAAAACTGATCATCTTCCAGCTCAACAGCCACTTCCATGTCCTCTCAAATTAGTATAACTTCCTCCTTGTTTAGATTATTACTCAAACTAGAACTTGGTAAGAGATCAGTTTGTGAGTGAGATTTTGGCAAGAAACCAAGAAAGAATATTCTTTAGTTTCTAAATATTGAAACCTCTCTTCATTCCCTTCCCCTTCTCCTTTTCTTCCGTGCCATGCGGATGTACGTGGGTTATAAATAGAGAAAAGTAAAAGAGATGGGTGAGTTTAAAGGCATATAGGGCAAGTAAATGTGGGGTAGTGGGGTCTCAATGGCAGTTAGCCAATCTAAGTCCCACAACCCCACAAGAATCTTGAAGTTGTGTTACCGTGTTATCCAGTAGGAAGAAGAGATGAGGAATAACACGCAATACCCCACACCACACCCAGATATCTAAATCCAAGATAGACCCAAGTCTCCTCTAGGCACGCTTGGCTGAAATTTGGTGAGCCTCACTCCTATCTCTCTAAGGCAACAAGGTATGGCTCAAAATTCACAGTCCCCAATCCCTCACAGATATGAACTTGCAACCAAGTTAAACCCCTCTCTCATCTGGTATCTAGCTAGCTAGATACTGGTGTCATTTATCATGGTTAAGCAAAGCTAGGACAGTCAAAATCAGTAACCAGAATATCTATCTTTGTTGTAGAGCTTGTTGTAGGGCCATTGCTTTAATTCCTTTTAGAATTGAGACTTTGTTTTGTCCAGCTCCACACAATTTGAAGAGTCGTGTCAGTGCCACTAGCTTCTTTTAATATATATCAGTCTAGCATTTAAGTTCTGAGTAATTGTGTTTTAGGCCTGTGACATTGATTCATTGTCATCTTCAATTTAGACTAACATAATTTATTAGCATGGCAAACTATTTCCCATTCTATGAGGAATTGGATACAATATAGCTCTAAATCCAGCAGAATGGAGAAAAATATCAAAAATGAATATGTGAGTGAATACACCTACTTTGGAAATTAAGCAAAGTGGAAAGGTCGCTATCAGAAAAGAAAAGTACCAAGAAAAAAAGATTGAACAAGAGATACTAAACTTTTATGTTTAAATTTATACTATTTTCACGTATTATTATTATTTCTATATTCATCTCCGAATTCAATTCATCTTAGCACATTTAAAATAGGCCCAGTTTGGTCGGGTTTGGTTTTGGATTTGGAAATCTTTATTCAAAATCGGGTTCTAATCAGACTCAACCCACGGGTTTGACAGACAACCTGACTCATGAACAAATCTGCTTACAGAGTGTCAATTACATGCTTTTAAGTGATGAACAAAATTATATGCCAAGCTTTTTGCAACTAGTTCTTTACTGCAGGTACTCTCATCACTCTTGATATGGAAAGCAAGTACTTGAATTATTAGTATTATTTTGAGTGTCAGTTTTGGTCCACGTATCTGCCGGCCGGCTAAGGAACCCGCCCCCATCTGCAAAGAATACTGCGGCAACCGCAGATCTTTTACAATCCCCTTTACATAAAATGTTTCAATCAATTCTTGGATTTTGTTTATTTGTAACATAAAATATTGCATTTAATCATCGTGTTGGAGAGGTTTGCTGTTTGCTGATGGCAAGGACTCTTTAAGTGAACTTTTTTTTTTTGGGGAATTCCGTACCAGCAGCAGATATTTGTGATAGGGTTTTCTGCTGCAAAAGACTGCCTTTTGGTGATGGAATCATGGAGTAAAGAAAGAGTGGAAGAAAAAATATATATTACTAAGGTATTCCTCTAATAACTAGTTACTACCATATGGGAAAAGAAAGGGGTAAGATCTACATCAAAAGGTTTTACTTTCTTTTTGGTGACAATCAAATCCAATTAATTAGAAATTAGTTCGATTAGTTAGTACGTTCATGTAGATCTTAAAAAAAAAAAAAAAAGAATCTTGAGTTGGGTCATTCACAACTCCTTTTATCCATAATGTGAATTCGAGCAAGATGAATGAAAAATCACAAATTTTGTTTCTCATGAGTCAGGCTTCTATAGCTAGTAGTAATGAGACAAATTTGACGAAGCAAACAAAGATTAACAATCATTGGTAAAGAATAACTTAAGTTAATCGTTGCTACTGCTACTTCCATCGGATGAGAGGAATAACTCATCTTGGTGTGGAGAATGAATTGGTAGCAAAACTACCAAAATGGGCAAGATTTGTTGCAACTAGTGTGTGTGCATGGTCCAGGTGAGCGGTCCCATACCTAAGATCGCGGATCACCTTATTGGAAAGCTGGTTAGGCAGAACATCTTTTGGTCCCTACCACTATTGGAGTATGGAGAATTAAAGTGACGGTTTAACCATTGAAAAGCCAGGGCCAGCAGGAAGCAGGGGTGTCATCCAAGAATGTGATAGTAACTTGACATACTTCTTTTCTCGAAGAATATCGTTATTGTAGAATTCCGACACGGCAGAACTTTTGGCGGTTCTTGAAACATTCTCAATTATTGTCGAAGCCCTTTGTACGGAGAGAAAGAAGCTTGGTTCAAAACCAAGCTTTTATGTTTTCCTAAATTTTTCGTTTTTCGTCAAATTATACAATTAGTTTTTGTACTTACATAAAATTTAATCTTTAGTCCATACACAATAATTCACACAAATTAGGTTTTTGTATTAGTTTAATTTAATCATGGTGGTCCAATTGATGACATCATTATTTCATCTCTGTTAAATAGTTGACATAGTTATTGACCATACTAATACGGTATTAATTTGTTGACGTAACATTTAAGATTGATAAAAATTAATTGTTAAATTATATAAATAATTTTTATATTCATGAAATTTAAAATTTAATCTCTATATTCATATTAAATTTAAAATTTAGTTTTTATGCTAGCATAAAATTTAAAATTTAATCTTTTTAATTGAAAAAAATATTTTAAATATTTTTAGTTTTTTTTTAAATATTAAAATTTAAAAATATTTTAGTTTCTCTAATATATTAATTTTTATTATATATAATTAATTATTAATAATATCATATTAACAATAATAATATTATTATTTATATTAATCAATTATAATATTAATAATTTAAATTAATATATCAAAGTTAATATTATTTTAATTAATATAAATATATTACAACGAGAACTTTCACTTTTTTTTGTCTTTACAAAATAAATTTATTTATATAATTAAATTTGAATCTAACTTAATAATTTTTAATAATACTAATAACATAAAATTAATATAGTAAAAATACATTAAAATAAGTAAAAATTTATTAAAAAAATAAATGTAATTTATATAATTTATAATTAAACACATTAAATATTTGCTGAAAATTTTTTTAAAATAATTAAAAAAATTTTCTTAATTATGAAATTTTCATATTTTGTAAGCATTTGATTTATTTTAAGTCACAAAATCTCCAACATCTCACAGTTTTTAGTGACAAATGAAAGCACAAATTTAAAGTAGAAATGTAATACTATAACTTGGAAATATTGTTTTGACAAAAATGATTTCCAAAAGCTTAAGTTCATGCCAAAATTTTGTAAATTATCACAAATAGTAAAGATTAATTTAAATTTATTTGTACTAATTTGCAAAGTTTTGACTTTCGAAACTTAGACTTTTAGAAATCATTTTTGCTGAAACAAAATTCTAAGTTATAGTATTATATTTCTACTTTAAATTTTTGTTTTCGTTTGTCTTTAAAAATTATGGGATGTTAGAGATTTTACAGGTCAAAATAAATCAAATAATCACAAAATGTGAAAATTTTAGAATTAAAATTTTTTTTAATTATTTTAAAAATTATTTTTAGCAAATAATTGATGTGTTTATTTATAAATTATATAAATTTTAGTTATATTATTTTTAATAAATTTTTACTTATTGTAATATATTTTTACTATATTAATTTCATGTTATTAGTCTTGCTAAAAAACTATTAAGTTAGATTTAAACTTAATTATTTAAATAATTTTTTTTTGTGAAGACCAAAAGAATTGAAAGTTCTTATTATAATATATTCATACTATTTAAAATAATATTAAATTTGATATATTAATTTAAAGTATTAAATTATAATTGATTAATATAAATGATAATAATATTATTAATATAATATTATTAATAATTAATTATATTTAATAAAATTAATATATTAGAGAAATTAAAATATTTTTAAATTTTAATATTTTGAAAAAACTAAAAGAATTCAAAATATTTTTTATATTAGAGAGATTAAATTTTAATTTCGTATGAATATAATAATTAAATTTTAAATTTTATACAAAAATAAAGACTAAATTTTAAATTTCATATAAATATAAAAATCATTTGTATAATTTAACAATTAATTTTATCAATTGTTATGTTAACATATTCAATTATCATGTTAACATAATCAACAGCCACGTTAACTATTTTAACGAAGATAAAGTAACGGTGTCATCGATTATATTAATATTATTAAATTAAATTAGTATGAAAATCTAATTTTTATAAATTATTGTATAAAAATTAAAATTTAAATTTCATATAAATACATAAAGTAATTGTATAATTTGACCCTCATCTTTTCGCATTTTTGTCCTTTGGGGTAAAATTGACCACATGCTTCTGATTCTTTAGAAATGCAGTATAGGTTACAACTGTTTATATATATATATATTTTAATTCTTGAATCTAAATAGGCACCAGGTTTTTGGAATTCACCCGTTGTAAATACGGCAACAAGTTTTGGAATTCACCCGTAGTAAATATGGGTATCTAAATGGGCACCGGGTTTTTGGAATTCACCCCTAGTAAATGAGTATGCAAAATGAAGAACTGCTTTTAGGCACCAAGATGCTAATACTGAAGTTCCCCTCCTTATGCAACTTGTCCCAAGGAAAGACAGTGAAACACATCAACAAAAATCTTTGCAATCTCAAATTATCAGTCTGGTCCGTTAACCAGCTTTTGCTTGTTTCAGAGGCAGGAAGTAACCATCGAGGACAATGGAGAAAGCAAATTAAAGACCCATCTTTGGACAGCTATGCCTTTAAATTTAATTCTGATTTGGCCAATAAATGTTGTACACAATTATTAACTTATTTTCAATTGACTAAGCTGGCCGTCCTATTACCATTAAGATCCAAAGAAATGGACCAGAGAGGCGGGCAGGAAGCCATGGGTCCCTCATGGTTTAGCGACATGACTTTTCCTCCATTTCTCCAACCAACTTTTCTTTAATGTGAACACATCCGCGGGATCTAAGCCTAATCCCCTAATTATTTCTAAAGTTCACATTTCAAGACTTCGAACTACCTCTTTACTTCTCCATTAGTTTTCATTCAAACTACATCAGTTCTCGTGATAAAGCACCCAAGAAAACAGGATGCAGAGATACATAAATCATCACCAAATTTAATAAGCATATCATCTTTCCTATGTGAAAAAACGAAGAGGTGATGAAGAGAAGCAGAAGAAGAAATAGGATCAGAAAACAAAAGCATTACAAGGAAAAAAAAGTGCTCTTTAGATACATCGTCATCACACGTAGCTTTTAAAATTATCTATCATTATGTCCATGAACCTTAGGCCTTAACGCAACAGTTGAAGCAGCTGAAGATACTCCTCCTTGTCTGTCAAGAAAACCAATAAGCAATGAAGTAATGAACTGAAATGAAAACCACCATTCAAGGATTTTTGCAACAAAAAGAAAAAAAAAATTCTAAAGAGAAAGTTGTAAAATAGAACAAATTATGTCAAATTAATTAATCAACAACACAAGCACAACTTGCCAAGTAATTTTCTTTTTTCTTTTTTTTTTTTTCTTTTGCAGATCGAATAAATCCTTTCTAACACAGAATGAGCCTAAGTACCCACTGCTATGGACACATATTGCATGGGCAAAACATCAGTTGCATGTTCACCAAATGAGGTTCCGTGTGATCGTGCGAAGGTGTAATATGGATCATATGTTAGTTATTGAGTTCTAACAGTAAGCACTTTTCTCCAATCTTTTGACACACATCTCCATCATGCATTCATAAAGATAACCCATTTAAATATGTTCGCGACATGCAATTTTTTTCTGGATATTTTGCACCACATAAGCATTCAAAGTCAGAAAGTTGCCAGCAGGCTCAACTCATACCAGGTGTGGGAGATATATCTTCCCTTATCATAAATAAAGATTAGTTTTCTCCTAAAAATATCCTAAATGTTCATAATGCAATTTCAACATGAACTTTGCAAATTGATTTCTGTCATTGGAGAACAAGAACCACATGCTCCCAAAGACATGCTTATCACAAATTTGTCAATGTGAAAAAGTCAAATGAGAAAAGTATATGAATATCTTGAGCGCTGCAGATTAGAAACCAACACGCAAATAATATTATCAATTTGCTATCTTCAATGTTCGTATCTTTAGTTTGTTGACCACAAAGATAAAGGAATTGAAAACTATTCCTACAACTAGGTCAACCAAATCAACCTGATAAAAAAAATCCAATTTCCCGCCATGGCAACGAAAACTAATCGCGTTTTATGAAGGGCTAAGTTATATGCTATAGATTAATTGCTACCTACTTCAGATAGTAAACATGAATGAAAAGATTAAATGTCCAACTAAGCAATTTCCCCACTACCCTAGCACATGCATGCCACTAAAGTTTATAGCTTTATATTGTCTTCATTGCGGCACCATTCCTATTTAAGGCTACCAAACAAAAAAAAAAAAAAAGAAAAGGTATATTTAGAGTACGTTATCTAAAAAATTCAATAAACAAAGTATATGGAAAGTTAGTGGCAGGGAATCTTACGGTTGGAGAGTCATGATTCTGAGGATAATGGTTGTGATCATCACTAGGAGCGGTGCTAACACTGGTGGCAGTTGGGTTAATGAACTCTTCTTCATTTCCAAGACTGGCTCTTGAAACTTCCCTCTTGTTCTGCTTCCTCATTTCCCTAATTTTTGAGAAGTCAAGAGAGTAATCTGGCAGCTGTCCCTTCTGGTCCCAGTCCCCAAATTGTGGTACTGATAGCCATGGAGCATTTTTCTGCATAATTTAAACACCCAAAACAATACATCAATTAACTCAAACGAAGCAAAAGTATCATTGCTTGTTTTTAACTTCAAAAAGCAACCCAACAATCATTAACTATAGTTTCCCTCTCCAATTCGATCAAAACAATTGTATTGTTCAATGGAAGCTATTTCTTCAAATGGAAATGCTTGTTTCAATTTTTTAGGCCTCAAAGCTGTCCAACCACTCACATAAAAGATTGCCATCCAATTTTAATTTAATATGCTGTCATAAATAGTCAATAGTTACCAAATTACAAAAAATTTGGCCTGAAAATTAAATGGCAATTGGCAAAACCTTAACAAAATCTTTGAGAAAACAAAATTCTCAAAAGTAAAAAAGCATTATCTATATATATATAAAAAAAAGCATATAAGTAAGTTAGATACAATGAAATTCCAGATTTTTTTTTATGACGGAAACCTGGGGAAGGCGGGGCCCATTGAACCCACCTTTCCTTGGCACAGCATCCTACCGTCATGGCCTCCCAAAAAAATCAGGGATTTCATTTTCCAGGCAGAAATCGAGCTGGTTTTTGACAGTACCTCATATTATTTGATAGCACATAGGAAAATATCCTAAATAGTAACAGCCTATCAAGTTCTCTAACCTTCACCATTTGCATAAGAAGAGATCTCCTAAAAAGCAGTAATGAAGAAACAGAGCTGGCCGGTTATCCCAATGCTCATATCTTGTCAATTAACAACTCTGAAATTCTGAACCAATTTCTCAGTTTTAACGAAAATCTTTATTCGGTTTCCAAACTCAAAACTCTACGGATTTTAAGTCTGTGGATTACAGGCAAGGAGTTCATTAAGTTGCCGTATAGTATAGCCAACTGGCACAAATCTCAAGACAACGTTACAAAATCAACAAAAAAAATTAATAGTTCTTTATCTCCACCGCCAAAAAAAAAAAAACCCCTTTTTTCACAACAACGTAAGAAAAAGCCATAAACAAAAAGAAAAAGAAGAAAAAAAAAACTCACCTCCTTACGATCTTCCATGATTGATACCAAGATACAAAAAAGGGGTGTTCCCAAAATTCTAAAGAAAACTGTCAAATGCTATATCGAAAGAGAGAAAAAGAAAGGAAGAGAAAAAAAAAGGGGTTTTTTGGTATAACAGACAATGATTTTTAAAAAATAATTTTTGTATTGAATGAGATGTTACAGCAGAATGACAGCACCGAATTGGGATTTTTGACGGAGACACTGACAAGCTCGTAATGAAATGAAGTCAATCAGTCTCTCTCTTTCTTTTTTTTATATCTACGTTTCAGTTCTTGATAATGGGCTTGCTTTTTGTTGAAATTACATGGAATGCCACTCTTCGGACACTTTTTCCCTGTTAGCTTAGTTAGATGGCTAGCTGTCTGTGCAAGGGAAGAATCCAATATTTATCCGCAACGCAGCTCTTGAATTTAGGCTTTTGTTTAACAGACAATGATTTTTAAAAAATAATTTTTGTATTATTTATTTATTTAATAAAAAATTGATTCGTCAATAGAAAAAAATTTATTGATAAAAAATAATATTTTTGAAAATTATCTTTTTTTAAATAAATTTTTAAAAATAACTATTTATAAATAAGATATTTTTAAATATAATTTAATTTAAATCAGATCTTAAACCAATTTTTTAAATTCAAACTTAATTTCACTCAATTCAAAATATTATTTTATTAACAAAAACTGTTTTATTTAATTTTAATAAAATATTAAAATATTAATATCAAAAGTTTTAATATTTTAATTTTAAATATTTTTATAATTTTAATAAGTCCAACTTCGAATATAATTGTTTAAATTCAAACTTAATTTGATTTTATTTGAATAATATTATATTAATAATAATTTTCTTTGATTTAATTAAAAAATCAGAATATTAAAATATTAATATTAATATTTAAAGGTTTCTAATAGTTTAATTTCAAATATTTACATTTTGTGTATTATTAAATATAAATATTTTTAATATTTTAATAATAAATAGTATTATTTTATTATTTTAATAATAAATAAAAAATTTTCTAAAGTAATTTTTATTATTTTAATAATTAATATTGTTTATATAATAATATTAGTTTAATAATATGACTATTTTTTTATCATTTTTAATATTTTTAATTTAAAATATATTAGTTTTATATTTTATTGACAAATGTATTTATATTACTATTTTAATAATAAAAATAAATATAAATAATATATTTGTTATAATTTAATAATAAATAATTTGGATAAAAATATAACTATTTTAATAGCAAATATTTTTAAAAATTTAAATATTAAATTATAATATTAAAAATATTATTTTATTAATAGAAATAATATTTGGAGAAAAGTAATGCTATTTTAAATATTTTAAAATATTAACATAAATAATAACTTAATAATTTAATATTAAATATTATTATTAAAATACATAATAATTTAATAATAAATAATTTTAATATTTTAATAATAACAAATTTTAAATATTTTAATAATTATATTAATATTATTTGAATGGAAACCAATTTTTTTGTATAGGCTAATTATGGTTATTGCATGTTTATTATGTCTAAAAATAATATTAACTATTTTGTACACCTAAAAACTATTTTATTTTAATAAAATCCTATAATTTATATTATTATGGACATTGTTTGTGACTTTTATAAGAGTATATTTTGTGTAAAAATGATGTAAAAACTATTTTATTATATTCTAAATTTGTGGAATCTTATTATAATGATTTTATTGTGTTATATTTTTTAAATTACTAATTATTATTATTATTATTATTATAGATGTGTAAAACTATTGTTTAAATAGTTATGTGAGGATCATTATTTTGTCTGAAATATTGATTTTCCAAAAAAAAAAAAATCCAAATACCAAAAATATTTTTCTCAAAATCTTCCAAACAATAAAAAATATCAAAATTTCCAAGAAATATCTTATTTTTCAGAAATTGTTTTGAAGAAGCTATTTTCAATAATACAAATGGAACCTTACACAAAGGTGGATTTCAGTTAAAGATTTAAACAGAAGATAAATACATTTACCATATCTTAAAGCAATAATGGATGGAACTTTTGTTTAAGCATACTAGGATTTTGGCTTCATTTTTATTAACTCAATCAAGGTAAAAGCTAAGGCAAAGAAAGAAGAGTGCTTCTCCTTATATGTTTGAACCATTATTCTTACTCCTTTCATCTCATAAATAAGTGTGAATTTGACTTTTTGCAATCAAATTATATAAACAGACCTTTGGTATTATAAGCAAACTTCTCATTAAGAACAACCATCTAATAATAAAAATATCATTGTAAAATCAGCACAAGTCACCAGAATGCATGGCTAAAGCCTTTTTCCAAGAATGCATTTGTCATACCTTACTGAGATAATTACAAAACATAAACCATTTGGCATACTAAGATTCAAGGTCAATCCCAAACTGACTGCACCACAATTTCAAATACCTTTGACATGGGTAGGTCAAAATGTAATGGCCCCAAAATAGATTTCTTGATTAGAGACAGCACATTCAACATTCTCTTAACGGCTTCAGTGGTCATGTGCCTGTCCAAATACAGTCAGTAAGGGCAGCCAGAAATTTAGTGGCCACTATTCAAATTTCTTTATAAGAGACAGGTCATTTAACATTCTCTCAATGGCATCATCATCGTGAGCCCGTCCTTTAATCTGCATAGCAAAGACAATTCGTTACTAGAGGCTAAAGGAAGTTTAACAATTTATCTTAATTTTCAAAAGTTCTTGCTAAAGTAAGAAGAAACCCAAAAAATTCTAGAAATCAAATTGGCCTCAAAAGGATTAGAGGACTAGGATAGCATCTGATGAGTCTTTTTCCTTGTTTTGTCCTACCATAGAGAGAGAGGCCATCAAAATCCATCTACTTATGTGCTAAACAATGCACGCGAAAAAGGGTGAACAAATTACACTCTAATAGTATCCAATGAGTCTCAATTTTTGTTGTGTCAAGGTAGACAGAAAGAAATGCCAAATAAATCTTTCTCAACGTATGCGGAAGAAATGCATGTGAAGAACAATGACCAATCAATTTGAATTTGTAGATCACCCTATGACTATTCAAACAATGGAAAGAAAAATGGGCTCAAAAGAGGTAACAATTACAGAGGAAAGTGTACTTAACATTTTATACCTTGATGGAAGGCACCATAGCAATTGCTTCCTCCAAAGTTTCAGGACACAGGTTGCCAAGAACACAAAGCTGCATAAGTAGCACAATATGAAGAATATTTCCACACGATCATTAACTTCATAATTTGAAGTTTACTGCTTTATAGAGTATAGATCCTCACCTCAAATTCAGCTAACTGATATCTACTCAGAATTCTGAATGTCAGTTAAGGTTCACATTAAAGAGGCAAGTTACATGTCCTAAGAAAAGCAATAAACCAAGCACAAGCATTACCAACGATGTCATCAGAGGAAATAGTAGATGTAAAGAAAACAATGGCATCTGCCTTAATCAGATCCTAGAAAAGTAAACTGACAATGTGCCAAGATTTCCTTCAACTAACATCAGCTGAAGTTAGCTTAAACCTCTTTTAACTTCCACCATAAGCTGATGCAAACAAAACATAACACAATAGTAGACAGTTCCAAAAAAAGATAGCAATGCCAAGGAGCGCCCAAAAAGCTTGTGCAGAGTAGTATATAAATATATGCACATATGCTTAAAAATAAAGTCTATTTATCATTTTTAGAAATTTAGAGGATACTCTCGAACTTGTCTAACAGCATCTGGATTTTTGTAACGGCTAAAGCGCTTTACATACTGCAGTGACTTCTCAAATACCCTGTGAAACAAACACAAAAAAATATATATATCCACCACATCAAGTGCGAGAGGAAAAATAGCAATAAAGGCATGTGAAGTTCTGTAAATACCACATTCCATGAGAGAATCCATCTTATACGGTCAGCTTCCATTTAGTGCATAGTATTAGGGATATAATAGGAGAGAATAAAATTGATGAGTAAATTGACTTTCTTTTATCTTATTTTGGCTCATGCACAACAAAGTGCTATCACTTTATTCGACATGAACCTGGGATTTATCCAACTTTCTTCCCCTTATAGGATTATATAATCATCCATACGGTATATCTAATCCAACTAACTTTCTGATTGTTCTATTAAAAGACTATAGACGATGAAAACTATAGCAATTGAAAAAGAAGTTACATCCTACACAATCTTATCATATGCGCTGAACCAACCCCTCAGGCTAGGAAGTTGATACAACAAATTCAATAATTCCGGAGACAATGTTACAAACAGGAAAACAAATACAATAATTCTATTTCTATGACAAAACAAATACAATAATTTTATTGCTATGACACAAAGTTTATCCCCAGGTCCGAAATATATATCCAAAAAAGCAGCTAATTATTTACAAAAAATAATGTCTGCGAAATCAAACAAACCCCAGTAAGCCGGTTACGCAGAGATCATCAAACAAGAAAAAGAAAAGACCCAATACACAACTGAGGGTGCTTATGAAACTCACTGGGAAACCTGATTCATGGGATCATCAGACATTTGCTGAAGCTGCTCATACTTATGCTCAAGAATTAAAGCCACTTCACAATTCATCAAACATTTTGCCTTCAAAAACTCTATCCAAAACGAGAAAAAAAAAAAAAAGATATGGGTTTTAAAAATTTTAATCACTTACGTATAAAGAAAAAGAGAAAAATAAATAAAAGAAAAAGGTGGTTTACCTTCTCCAATTTTGAGCTCCGCAGCGTTTTCTTCCTCTTCGCCAGACATAATTAGACAAGGGTCTTGTCTGAAAGAAATTTAATTTTATAAAACCATAAAAGCGAAGATCAAACAAATAATTGTATTGATTTTCTTACTTCTTACCTGTTTGATTTCGATGAGAGCAGTCAGCAGAGAAACAGAAACCTAAGAGCTAAAAGAAAAAATGTTATGTATGTTCTTCTGTCTTCCGTCCTAAAATCTGTTATAACAAAAACCAAAGGCTTGGGCTTTTTACTTTTCTTTGCCGGCCAACTGACCCGACCCATATCTCCTTCATTTTTCCCTTTTTTGGGTTAAAATATAAAATATATGTTTGTATTTATTAAATTTATCGTATAAAACTTTATTTTTTTTAGGCGACACTCTTTCTTTTTTTTTTTTTCTTAAAAATTTATAGTAGCATGTCGTTTATGTTCAAAAAAATATTTTTAATATAGATTATTATAATTTTTCATGATTTTAAATGTTAAATAAAATATATATCCATTATGTGTGATTTATATTAGACCCAAATAAAAAAAAATCCAATTATCATCTTTTTTTTTTTTTCAAAAAATTTAAAAATTATTATAACAGCCCGTTGCTTTATAATTATTTTGAATTGATTCAATCATCTTAATTTTTTTTTTTTAAAGTTTTTCATACTCTTTCGTTATTATTAATAGCCTCTAATATAAAACAAAAATTATGATGCTAGATTGGCTCAGAATAATTAAGATAAAATTGAAAATGCCCCTTTTCTCATATTATTCTTTGATATATAATGTAATCTTTTATTTGAGAAAAATAAAAAAAAATTCATATTTAATTCAAATTGCAATAAAAGTATTAAAAATTTATTTAAATAAAATAATAAAATTTATTTTTTTATTATTTTAGCCATAAAACTCTTTTCTTACTAACCGGACTAAGCTATATGGGTAAAGTATCAATTTAAGTATAACTAATAGGGGCATAAATGAATTGTATATAATGAAATTTGTTATTTTTACGATTTATTTATTTAGTTAAGAAATTTTAAAATATTATAATAATTTTTTATTAAATTAAATAAACGAATATATATATATATATATATAAAAAAACAACTATCATTAAAAGGAAACATATTCGCAAATTATTTGTGAAACATTACGTTAATTTATACCCTATTTATTAATTAACAAAATTGAAAGAAAAAAAAAATCATCAACCTTTTGAAATGTTCAGAAACGGATGCCCAGAAACAAGGCGATAACGCCACCTTTCCTTTAGTTGGTACAACGTGTGCAAATTTGAAGCCACCCCTAACTACAAAGCTAGAGCAAATGCCATTATGCTGCCACTACCACTTAACTTTTTCTTGTTTCTTCATTTTTAAGCATGAACAAATCTAGAAGAAGAAGCTCGACTCTGTTTCTTGTTCGGCTTATCATTCTGTCGCATCAAATTCTATCAGTAGTTTGTGAAACCGGGCAGCACAATGAAGAGAAACCATCATTCTTCCAGGTTGTATCAAGCACCATTTCATTGTTGAAGAAATCTCATAAAAATTCTTGGGAAAAGATCAAAACCATTATCCATGACTTCCAGTTGCAGTTTACTCCTCCAAATCTAGAGTAAGATTGAAAGTTTATTCTTTTTGTTATTATTTAGTTTTGAATGTTGAATGAATGTACGTTCACCATTAACATGTTTTGTTCCTTGTCTCTCGTCAGTTTTAGTGGCACAAGCACAGCAAAAGCTAGGGGTTCAGATAGTGTAGGAGAGGAGATGAAAGAAGCAGTCAAGAAAAGCATTGGAACAAGTGAAGCAACGGTTGAAGAAACTGCGAAATCTGCTGCAGAAGCTGTCCACAAGACCGCTGAGAAGGTGAAAGGGAGTGTCTCAGATAATGAAGAATCTCATGATGAGCTTTAAACTAGATCCGGAAACCCTATCAGTTGAGTAATTTAGGTGTTTTCTTTCTTAGTCAATTTTTGTTTTATGATCTCGTCAATTACTAATATGCACTCAATGTCAACCTATAATGTACTTTCCATATAATCTAAGTTCCTGGGTGAGCCTTAGATTTGAATGTTCGATTAATCCATAGCAAAATCCATTTTCAAACGCTTTCAAGCTTTGAATTTTGAATTATTATTATTATTATTATTGTTTATACGCTACACAGTCTCTCGCATTTCATAAAATCCCACTCGTCCAGGATTCCAACCTCCAGAACAGGAAACAAAAGCTTGGAGAACTTGCACAGAAAGACCAATGAGCTAGGCATCATATTTTCTTTTCCACTTGCAGATAAGCATGCGCGTAAGGATCATTGACAATATTATGTATAAAGAGAACCATAAGGTACTCTTACATTTCAATATGCTAAAGCAATTAGATTAAAATGAGGTACCATCAACGGAGAAACAGATTTGTCCGATCTGAATTTGTTTAATAAAGAACAGCACAGTAGAAGACTTCATAATTCAAAGTTTCGAGCTCAATGAAACCGCATAGATTCTATGAGTTTAAAAGCCCATCCTGACAACAAACATTCAACTTAAAATTGACAGCTAGAAGGATCACCATTTAGAGACCACCAACTGAAACTGAGATAGTAGTCACTGTAATTAAAAGACAATGTTCTACATATTTTGCCGTTCAAAATGAAAACTAAAGGAAATTGCACTAAGAAGAATGGGAAGCAGAAAATCTAAGACATTCACTCTGACACCTTCTAAGGCAAATATCATTCCAGTTGGGCACCTGATGTTGGTTGACGCACACAGTACGAGCACAAGCATCGGAGCATGCATCAAGCTCAGACACACCACAGACAGTTACACAAGTGTCAGGAATTGGATCTTTTGAAAATGCACCAACCTTTTTCAACATTCTCTTTGAAGTGCACACTCTCTCACAAACAAAAATATCATCTGAACTCTTCTCCCTTCCTCTGGCACTCTTAATTCTCTGTTCTTCAGCATGCCTTTTCTTCATTCTAAAAGCTTGCCCTGCGATGACTGCTGGGATGGCAGCCCCAAGAAGTGACCACCACACTTCTACCATCACAAATTGCAGTAGCCAAACCCTTTCCTCTTTCCCTATGTCCTCTTCTGCACTCTTCAATGAAAGAGGAAAGTACAGCACATGAACTTTTCTTTATTCATTTCTAGACTGAACAGCTAGCAGTTAAATTAAATTTAAAAGCATTCAACTTTACTCTTAACATATAATTACAAATCCAATGGCAAAGGCATCAAATCAATGACTTATAAAAGATGCAGAGAATGAAAGCTGGATTTTATGCTGCCTCCCATTTACAGTTCCAGTATGTCTACCATACAATACAATAAAACATTGCATACAACATAGCATTACTATAAGAAGCAATTCAGATAAGTGCCACGTTTATCCTGTCCTCTGTGAACATCAGAGAGATGCAATCAAGAACAGAATCTACACAATGCTGCTGCTATTGGCTTTAGAAACTACAATTTAACCTCCTAATAACAACCATTTTCCACTTGATTCTTCCAAACAAGAGAATCAAGCTACCCATATACTATTGAAAGATTTTAAACCAAAACAAAAAAAATCCAAATAAGGCACATTACTGCACTTATTATAGCCAACAGTCACAAAAAGACTCAGAACCCCATTTTTATGTGATGAAAATAGTGAGGGCTCGTAGAAGAATGAAAAAACAAAGTGGAATGGTTGACTTGAATGACATAAGCAAGTTGAAGGCAGCAGATTCTGGTAGAGGAGCTACAGGTAGCAGGTTCTAGAATCAGGGAAAATGACAGGAAGGTGGGTGTGACTGTTGGCATGGAGTGCTGGTGATGAGGCAGTCTGTTAGTATCACACGAGACAGCTGAGAACTCAACTTCCTTATTACTAAATAATTGTAATTAGCAACACATGATTGGCATATATGGCTATATAATGGTGCACTGTAATGAGAATCATTATGAATGAATTGGCTAATTACTCTCTTCTCTCAAATTCTGTCTCTATCTCTTCTTTATCCTCTTCTCCTCTCTTCTATATTTTCTACTCTGCGACAAACTGCAGTCCATAACAAGTTGGTATCAGAGCTCCAAGGATCCAACCACCAAGCTGGGAAAACAAAGCAAAGTCAGGACCATGGCGGAAGGAACTAGGCTGAATTCTCTGCAGGAGCAGATGCAAGCTTTTCAACAACTGGAGATCATGCAGGCAGCACAAAAAAACTGTTCCACCATGATCGGAGGAATGAGAGCGGAAGTTCAAGGCCAAGCTGATGGAGAACCAAGCTTGTATCAATGAATGTGAAAAGAGGCTTGAAGCCAAGATGATGGAGAGTCAAGCCTACCTCAGTAAATTGCTCGAGCCATTGCTGCAGAAAGAACTTCCAATTTTAAACTCTAGTTCTGGAGGAATGGAAAATGCATCAAGCAGCCAGCAATCACCAATGACTCAGTCTAAATCTGAAGGTAAACAACCTGTGGAAGTTACAGTTATTGATGATATTGGGAAGTTTACTTATAAAAATGTTGAGCCTGGTATTTTGTCCAAAAGCCCTTTTGAAAATAACCAATCTGTGTCTCAAAGAAATATGTTGCCATCTAAACCTAGCGAGCTTGCTGTTGGTTCTAATTTGAATCCAACAGTAAATATACTTTCACCAAGACCAAAAATCGAATTGCCCCTATTTGATGGATCCAATCCCAGAGGATGGATTACAAAGTGCCAGAAATATTTCACAAATTTTGCTATATTTGACCATCGGAAGCTGGAGTTAGCAGTCATGTATTTGGTGGGAAAAGCTGAGACATGGTCTGACATGGTTTGATGGATATATCATGTAGAAACCTAATGTGAATTGGCAAGCCTTTACTATTGACCTTTGTCAAAGGTTTTGTGATAAAGCTTGCACTGATGTGATAGAGGTGTTTAACAAGCTGCTACAAAAATCCACAGTGGAGGATTATCAGGAAAATTTTGAGGAGCTAAAACCATATATGTTGCATTATAACCCTCAGCTTCCCAAGAGCCATTTTGTTTCCAGTTTCATTAGTGGCTTGAAGGAGGATATTAAGCCTCGAGTCAAAGCTAATGAACCAACTACCTTGGCTGCAACTTATAGACAAGCCAGGCTACAAAAACTCTCCCTAAAATTTGAAAACAAGAAACACAAACAACTCCAGAGAACCACTCCAACCCTTACTCAAAATACAAAACCATCCTATAACCCATCAAACCAAACACTGAGAACCTCACCAATTACCACTCCAAACACCAACCGAGCCCTATTGATTGAACAGAGAAGAGCTCAAAATCTGTGCTGCAAGTGTGGTGACAAATTCACTCCTGGACATCTTTGTAAGAATAAGCAACTGAATTTTCTCACTGTGGATTAAAATAAGGAAGTGGAGGTACAGGACGATGATCAGTATGCAGATAAGCATGAAGCTACTGAAGAATTGATTAACACTGAGGGTAACCTTGAGATATCTATGAATGCTTTAACTGGAAGTGTGGGGAACAGTACATTGAGGATCCAGGGCAGCATTAAAGGTAAACCGATCAATATGTTGGTTGATAGTGGCAGCACCCATAGCTTTATCACTCCTAGATGGGCTAAGGACGGAAGCGAAATGTTGCACACTAATCCACTGACCATCACTGTAGCCAATTGAGAAATACTCTATAGCATGGCCAAGTGTAAGCAGTTGAAATGGAGGATGCAAGGTCACTCTTTTACTCATGATCTGAGAGTTTTGCCTATGGGAGGTAGTGACATGGTGTTGGGAGTTGATTGGATGAAAAGGTTTAGCCCTTTAGTCTTCGATTTCAATGATATGTCATTGTCATTTCAAAAAAGAAGGGAGGCCAGTCTCATGCTACCCTTAAGCTCATAAGTGGTGAAAAACTACAAAAGTTGGTTAAGAAGGATTCCGAAATAATGGGGGAATTATACATGCTCACGGTTGACTGTTGTGCTACTGAAACTCCTGTTGAAGTACAAAGTTTGCTCCTATTCAGACATATTCAAAGAGCCACAAGGACTGCCTCCAGAAAGGACCCAAGACAACAGCATATCACTCAAAGTTGGCTTTCAACCTTTTAATCTCAGGCCGTATAGGTTCCCTCATCACTAGAAAGCTGAAGTGGAGAGGCAAGTTAAAGAGATGCCATCTTCATTAATAATACAGACTAGTAGGAGCCCTCCTTGCCTATTAGTCGAAAAGAAGGAAGGATTGTGAAGACTTTGCATTGACTACAGGCAGCTTAATGCCATGACTGTAAAGGATAAATTTCCTATACCAGTCATGGAGGATTTGTTGGATGAGCTTAAAGGTGCTAGATTCTTTTCAAAAATTGACTTGAGGTTGGGTTTTTGGCAGATCCGAGTCAGAAAAGAAGACATCCATAAGACAGCTTTCGGGTTTCATCAAGGGCATTATGAGTTTAAGGTAATGCCCTTCAGTCTCACAAATGCCCCTGCTACATTCCAAGCTCTGATGAATGACATCTTTGCTGTGCATTTGAGAAGATTTGTGCTTGTATTCTTCGATGATATTCTGGTTTACAGTTTTAAAATGAAAGATCACCTTAAGCATTTGCAAACAAGGTTTGAAGTTTTTGCAAAAAGGAGTAAATGTTTCTTTGGGCAGCAACAAATTAAGTATTAAGATAAATTATCTAACCTGATGGAGTATCTACTGACCCTTTCAAGGTAGACGCTATGGTGAACTGGCAGCAGCTAAAACTATTAAGTCCTTGAGAGAATTTTTAGGCTTAACAGGATACTATAGGAAATTCATCAATGGATATGGCATAATTAATAACCCACTGATTGATATGCTTAAAAGGGATGGATTTCGGTGGAGTCTTGAGACATTAAAGGCTTTTCATCACCTTAAGGAGGTTATAAGCACTGCTCCTGTACTAGGTTTACCGGATTTTTCTAAGTCTTTTTGTTTGGAAACAGATGCAAGTAGTGCTGGGATAGGGGCTGTATTGTCTCGAGATGGTAGAACTATAGCTTATCTAAGCAAGGCCTTAAGTTCCAAGCATGCTGACTTGTTCATTTATGAAAAATAAAACATGGCTATATTGATGGCAGTCACCAAATGAAGGCACTATCTTGAGGGAGGACCTTTTATTATTAAAACAGATCATGAAGCCCTTAAATACTTGCTTGAGTAGAAATTGACAACCACTATATAGAAGAAGGGTCTGACTAAATTGTTGGGAATGGATTGAATTAATACAGAAAGGGGAAGATGAATAAAGTAGCAGATGCCTTATCAAGACAACATGGAGATGAAGCAAAATTGTACAGCCTCACTTCCACTATTATAATACCAGAATCGGTTAAGGAGAGAGAAATGAAGATGATGAAGCTACAAAGGAAATGATCACTGCATTATCTGTTAGTTCCACTACCATTCCTCATTTTACATACACTCATGGTATACTCAAGTTCAAGGGCAGTGTGTACCTAGGCAGCCATGGCCAATTGAGGGAACAGGTTCTACAACTGTTGCATGATTCACTACAAGGAGGACACTCGGGAATACAAGCCACCTATTACAGGGCTAAGCTATATTTCTATTGGCCAAAAATGAAGAAGCATATTCAAGAATATATCCAACAGTGTGACATCTATAAGAGGAATAAAAATTACCATGCCCCTTATCTAGGACTCTTACAGCCAATTCCAATTCCTCAACATGGATGGGAGGTGATATCTATGGATTTTATTGAGGGCTTGCCTCTATCACAGAATGTTAGTTGCATCTTAGTTTTTATTGATAAATTTACTAAGTATGCTCATCTTTTTGCTCTTTCCCATCCCTACACAGCACTAGACGTGGCTAAGTTGTATCTTAACCATGTTCACAAGCTTCACGGAACTCCCAAGGCTACTATATCTGACAGGGATGAGTTTTTTCTTAGTTCTTTATGGCAGGAATTGATGAAATTGTTGGGCACTACAGTACAACTCAGCACACATATCATCCTGAAATGGATGGACAATCTGAGAGGTTGAACCAATGCTTAGAACATTATCTACGATGCATGTACTTCCTCAAGCCTAAGACTTGGGCTAAATGGCTACCATTGGCAGAGTGGTGGTATAATACCACATACCACACTGCAATTGAGATGAGTCCTTTTCAAGCGTTATATGGATATCCTCCTCCAGGCTTTTCTTGGGATGTCAGCTCTCTTGCTAAGGTGTCTACTGCAGAAAAACTACTCAAGGAGAGGGAACAACTGAGCAAATTGCTGATTGATCAATTACAGAAGGCCTAAACAGGATGAAATTTTATGCAGACAAGAAAAGAAGTGAAAGGGGAATTCCAGGTTGGAGATGAAGTTTATCTGAACCTTCAGCCATACAGGCAAACTGCCAGCTATTAGGGGCCCTATACAGTGCTTGCAAGGATTGGTCCTCTAGCATATAAGTTGCAATTGCCAGCTCATTTGAAGTTACATCTAATGTTCCATGTCAGCCTGCTGAAGAAGAAGATTGGAGTTAAAATGGTGCCCAGCATAGCTCCACCAGAAGTAAACGATGAAGGACAGCACCTAGTCTATCCTGCTGCAGTTTTGGACAAAAGGATAGTTAAGAGAAACAATCAAGCTGTTACACAGCTCTTGGTGGTATGGTTAAACCTGGGCCCAGAGAATGCAACTTGGGAAGATTACTCAACACTTAGTGCTCAGTCTCCAAATTTTGATCCTTGGGGTCAAGGATCAGCTAAAGAGGGGGTAATGTGATGAAAACAGTGGGGGCTAGCAGAAGAATTAAAAAAACCAAGTAGAATGGTTGGCTTGAAGAATGACATAAGCAAGTTGAAGGCAGTAGATTCTGGTACAGAGAAGCTAAAGGTGGCAGGTTCAAGAATCAGGGAAAATGACAGGAAGGTAACATTAGCATGGAGTGAGTGCTGGTGATAAAGGCAATCTGTTAGTATCACACGAGACAGCTGACAACTCAACTTCCTTATTACTAAATAATTGTAATTAGCATTTCATTGTAATTAGCAACACATGATTGGCGTATATGCCTATATAAGGGTACACTGTAATGAGAATCATTATGAATGAATTGGCTTATTACTCTCTTCTTTCAAATTCTATCTCTATCTCTTCTTTTCTATCACCCTCTCCTCTCTTCTATATTTTCTACTCTCTGTGACAAAGCCTCAGTCCATAACATTTTATAATGATTTTATACATAACAATCAAATGGATAATTCCAATTTCAGAATACTGCAAACCACATTCTTATTTCTGTGAACAAAAAACTACAGGTTTCTTAAACAATCACATAAACTCAATTCCCAAAATTAAATTTCTTCTTCAAAAAAAAAAAATTTAAACTCTTTCAGAGTGAGTAAAATTCCAAAAAGCTTTGAACTTTAACATCCCTTCTATTTTTTAACAACAATTTAGCAAATACCGATTTCATAAAAAGAACAAAAGCATCGCATCGTGCAGTAACAAAAACCCATTATGAAGGCATAAATAAGTATAAAAGATGTAAAAAACAAACAGAAATCTAAAGTCCGAAAATTAGTTAAGACCCATAAAATTTATAAAAAGAGGGCAAAAAAAAAAAAAAGCTCCAGATTACGAGTTAAAGATCAAATAACAAAGAAGATATAGTCAATGCTGAAGCTAATCCTACAGGTTTAATTCCCATAACAAAAAGATAAAGAAGAGGAGAAAGGAGAAACAAAAGTTTAGGTTTTAGAGAAATGAAAGAAAGAGAAGACTGACCTTCAGACTTTAGAGCAGGGTTTTAGGGAAATTCAGCTAAGAGAGCAGAGCCGCCGCTATGCGTTCGCTTACCACCCGAGTAAAGCATTGTTTATTTTAGTGTTTTATTTTATGATTGTAACTGTACTTTTAATTTAAAAAATAAATAAAAGAATTAGATTTACCGTCGAGGAGCACGGATCTACGTAATGGTTATGGAGGCAATTATCCCGATGGAGCTTATGAAAATTTATTAAAATTATATCAACAATTAAACTTTAATAAAATAATAATTTTGCCCTACAAAATTAAAAATATTTAAAATTTTAATAAAAACAATACCTTTGTACCCACTTAAATTTATCAATATCTAAAATTTTAAGCATATGAAATTTTTTTAAATTATACTAATAATCAAATATTACATTCATATAATTAATTATTATATCAATAAATAATCAATTAAATTATAACTTAATTAAATAATTAAACTCACCATAAATAAAACTTAATTTAAAACCTTAAAATCTTATAATTTCATCATTATCATTAAAAAAAATCTCATTAGCAACATATAAACCTCCGAGTTAAATATCAACTTAAATTAATCTTTCATAATTGTATAAAACCTTTAAAAAAAAAATACCCATGTCCCAAAAGTGTACCTTTGTTGTTGACTTTCATATAGTTAAAACAAATGACTTTAGTTATTTAATATTAAAAATTAATATACCATGATTTTTAATATTTAACAGATAAAAAATAAAATTTAAAATATTCAAAAAATAATATAATTTTGAAATATACAAAATAAATGAAAAAAAAAGGGAAAAAAGAAATGAAATTGTTGTTTTTTCTAATGAACCAATATTCGTCGTCGTAGAAATGTAAAGGGGAAATAATGCAAAATAGAAATATAAAGAAAAAACTCGTGAAAGATGTGAAAGAAAAACCATGCGAAGTAGACATGCGAAGAAAAAGTGGCAAGGATTGAAGGAAGATAAAGTGATCTCTTTTTTTTTTTTTTTTTTTATCCCACCTTGTTGAAAATTAAGATACACTTTTTGACTTTATTCATCATTGGAAGTTCATATTTTCCATTCATCAATTGTTCCCCAGAGTGAAAATATAAATCAGGGGGAAAATGTGAAAGGAAAGTAGGCCTGATTGAAAAGAATTAACTATATTTTGGGGGGTAAGCAATCAATAATTGTACATCTAGTAAAACTGTAAAACCCAGAAACCCATTATAACTAGAGGGCGTGTGAATATAAAAGAATTGGAATGCCAGTTTTACAAGCAAAACGAATGAGGGAAAAGAATACGGAGCAAAGGATCATGTGGCCAACACAACATTTCCCCTCCCAGTAATGGCAGTTGTTTTGTGGCAAACGTTGGGGACGATTAAATCAGACATTAATGTCCGCCCGCTTTGATTTGGAGCTGCTGCTGCTGATTTCTTGGGAGCCAGTGAAGGAGAATCTTGGGAGGATGTAATTCTCAGTCACTGAAACTGGCTGTTGAGGGTAAAGGGTGGGAGGCGGAGTCAGATTGCGCTGAGCTGGTAGTGGAGGAAGCATGTTGTACTTGTAAGGGTCGCCACTCAAACTGCAATCAAACGAAAAAACCTTTCAAATAGGGCACTACAAACAAGGGATAGAGAAGAACATTGGTATTCCTACATAAAGTTTCCTATGATAACTTCTTAGCCTGACTTTACCTCGTACGCTTGTACAACTGATCATCATCACTGGAATTTTCATCTAAACGTTTCGAAGGTCTCTGACCAGGAGATATGGACAATGTAGTTGGGGTTGGTAAGTCATCAGAAATATATCTTCTCCTGATCAACTGAAACAAGTATAATATATGTTTAACAATAGCTAGCCCATTAAAATTTGAGAGACTAGAATACCAAACAAAGCAAGCAAGGAGGGCAATAATACCATTTGAAAAAATTTCATGATACCTTCCTTATTGTATCTTGCATCTTTGGCAGCCTGTAAAACATCGACCAAAATGTTAGCCATCTACAATTAGCAACAGCAATTTGAGATGTCAATTAATTAAGTAAAAGCAAAACTATCCTATTATGAACGGAACTGTATCATTTCCCTTTTTTTAAGCCAATATGTTGTATAGAGGACTACACTCTTATCACAACTACAATTCTACATTGAAATAGATAAATTACAATGAAACACCCAAGTTTTTCCATAATTTCCGCAAGGATGTAACAAGGAAAGAATAAAATAAGAAAGAAATTCTTCCTCTAAATGGCATATAAGCAAGTCAATGCGACAATGCATAAGTTAGAAAGCTTACTGCAATAAGGCCTCCGCTACCAGGAAAACTCTCAGTCAGTGGAAGCTCCTCACTAGATGGAAGCAAACCCTGCCTCTCAACCCACTGACGAGCTACATCAACCAGATTGCCACTGCTACCTTTTATACCCTCTTTAGCAGCAATATCAGCTTTATTACCAATAACAATATATGGGACAGGAAGTCCCCCAGGACCTCCAGAACCTAGAGGAGCTGAAAATGTCCCAGTTGCCGCAATCTCAGCTGCCCACTTCTGCAAACTTGTTTTTGTTCTCCTTTGGGAAAGATCATGAACAAAAATAACACCTGCACAAGATTTCAAGGGAGAATCATGAGAAAAACCACATGTCACAGTCAATAGTATGGTAATGATGGCATGCTGATAATATTTAAGACCATTAATTAAAATTGCAATATGTGCAATCAACTTATATTGCAAACATCTCCATGGAATAAATCCATACATTTTGGTATTTTGCCAATTTGCATCCCAGTTAAAAGCTTACAGGGATTCTATAGAGAACAAACAACAATTTTCTAAACCATCTTTTTCATCAACTGATCTGTAGAATCAAGGGCAGCCCAAAAATTAAATATCTTTTGACTCGAACAAAAACATGGGAACTATGCAGCTGCCACTGGCTTTATTCCATTCATGGAATAATAGGGCTATGAGAAAGCTGATACAGAGAAACTGATGACAGTATCCATCACAACATATTTATGAATGTAAATGTATCAGGGCACTAATCAGAATAACTTCAACCAAGAAATAGCCATGGTACTCAATCTGTTCCTCATACAATGGAAAACTCAATTTAAAGCTAGTACTCAATAGAACATGCTGACAGCAAGACATCCAATACTTAGAAAAAGCACAAAAAAGATTGTGGCTTACCAGACTTGCAAATTAAGCATAAGAAAATTTTCCCACCAACAATTACAAGAACTCGAGAATTTGCTCAAGCAAAGAGATTAAGTACTCACCATTAACTTGTGAATAAAAAAGAGAACGGCAATCTTTGTATCGCTCATGTCCGGACACATCCCAGAGTTCAATGAAGAAATCTCTCTCAGCATCCCCTTTTATGCTACTTGAAGAGCTAGCAGGACTACCGTATGTGGTGTGCTGTGTAGACATAGTAGTGACTACTTGGTGAATGAACTTAAACAATAATTTTATTTAAAACAACAAAGGAGTACCGAGTCTTACCTTCACACCAACTGTGCATCCAATTGTTTGAGGAGGGCGAGCAGAGGAAGAGCCTTTGACAATCAGATGAACAAGAGAAGTTTTTCCCACACCTGCCAAAGACTAAGATTTTAAGCTAAAGTTTGGCATCTTATAAAAAGTTGAAAACAGACATCTTTTTGGAGGAGGGCATTTAATTTCAGCATGAGAAGTAAAGATATCACAACAGCAGATCAAGACTCAGCTTGTTGCTCAATAAGGGCGCAAAACAGTGTCAGAAGCACTCAGGCAATCAAAAACAAATCAAAATAACATCCAAAAGAAATAGCATAGGAACATGAAACCAGTACTCCTTTATGAAGATTTCTTCTCTTCATACAGAAAGTAATAAAACAATCATCAACAAATTACTGAAGTACTGTCACCAAGGTCATGCAGATTTTCCCTCGAACTAAACTGAAGTGTACCATTAGCTCAAGTGTTAGGGGTGGGATGGGGTATGGGAAGAGATCCTTGGTTCAACCTGTAGTGCTCCCCCTTATACCAAGTTAGCTCTAAAGTTTACCTAATTAACCTACTAAACCTTCTACCTTCTTCCCATTTCTTTCAAATCTTGGTACGTCATCTCATATAATCCAACAGCTTCAATTTTGTTGCTCACACATATAGATCACACACCAGATCTCCTCAACCAAAAACTAAGCTAGTCAGGCAATTATTTCACACCATACTTCACCTCTTATTTATAGCATTAATATTACGAATGATCATTAATCAAGTTCTCAATTTTTTTATGCACAAACAAAACCATCTGTTGCTTGAAGTACTTTTATCCTTACATGTTGGCAGGTAAACCAAATGTTCTTCTTTGTCCAGCAGAGTTACAATTCAGGAATCTTAAACTGAAAATTCATAAATTTAACAACAGCTAAACGATAGTTCTACACACTAAGATACAATCAAGTTTGTTCCTTCTGGTATAGTTGCAATTAATAATAACTTTATAGCATACAAAAATTTGAGATTAAACACCCTAAACAGCTACTTCATACAGAAAAGCAGGCAAATTTGCAAAAACAAACACTAAATTAATACAAAAATTCTTTAATAAAAAAAAAAGTAAAATTCAATACCTGAATCACCAACAACAAGAACTCTAACATGCCCACAAAGAGGTCCTCCATTAAGCTCATTGTTCTCCCTCTCACGTTCCCTCCAAAACATGTTTTTTTTTTCTCTTTTCTTCTCTGAGAACCAAAAAGAAATCTACTCCAAAAAGAAAACCCAACTCAATTCTACAAACAATAGCAAGACTAATCAAGTCCCATCAAACAGGAAGAAATTCAAAGCAGAGCAACAGTATATCGAAATGGGTATCAAAATTTTCCATCCAAAATACATCTCAGAACAAAATCAACCCAATATACATCCAAATCCAGTATCCCGAAACTCGTCATTTCAGAATCAAATTGGATCTAACCAAAAGAAAATTCCAAATGGGTTTCTTTAAAATGGAAAGACAAGGAGTGGGTTATCTCTTCAAATTTCAGTTTAGAGCTTCCAATTCTTAATTGAATAAACTTTGGTTAAAATCATATATTTACGAAGAAAAAAAATCAATGTTTTAAGTGAGGGTTATCCGAAGATTAGGGAAAAGGAGAAATCACTCAGATGCATAAAAATAAGTTAAAGTCAGGATCCAGAATTGGTTTTTGAATAGATTGAGAATGGTTTTTTTTTTTTTTTTTTTTTTCATGTGCTGCTGATACGGGTGTGATTAAACAGAGACACGCGTTAGAATGCGCGTCAAATTCATTAGAGTTGTCAATTTCAGGTTAATTGCATGAATGGTACTTCCGAATAAATGTTTCTTCAATTTGGTACTTGAATTAGACCAACGTTTATCAATGTTCAATTAAAAGTCATTTTGACCTAAATTAAGTAATTAGAATGTCATACGTATCAATCAAGACATGAAAATATTAACTTTTTGGATTTTTTACCTTTTCTTATTTTTTTCACTTTACTAGTTATAGGGATATATATCTTTCACTTAATTTTTTTCATTTTAATTGTCATGTAAATTAAGAAATTCTACCTGATTACTTCTTAAAATATATTTTTTTGAATAGTTAATTAGTCCATATAATTATTTTTAAAATATAACATTTAATATATTTATAATATAAATTTTAATATTTATAATTTCTTTTTGGGATTTTCTTTATAAAATAAAAAGTGTTCATAATTCTTCACATGTGAGCTGACATAGCAGTGAGGAGCTTGCTATGTTTTCATGTGCTATGGTGGAGGTATTATCAATTATGATATGAGCCATGATTGTAGTTCTTTCAAATAGTGATGAAATATTGATATCAAGATCTAGTTCCAGTAATTGAATAATAGAGACCAGTTGGTAACTTGTAGTTAAAAAAAAGGTAGTTTAAAACGAGTAAGAGCATGCTAAGGATGATTCCAAGACCAATTCAAAAGCAAGATAATAGATGATGATTATCGTAGATTAAGTTTAATCAAAATTCTAATATACTAAGTGTCACCTTTGTAATCTGCTAAATCTCATCTTCTTACCTGTATATGCTTTTGCTTATATAAATCTGAGAGCTTTCCTCATGCAATTCAAGCGAGTGGGATTAATTTCTATACTTCTTTGGTAAGCACTTTTATGGCATTAGGGCCAAGTTTTTGATGCCGTCGTTTTTGGTGGTGGAAGTTAAAAAAGGCCATGGTGATACCCTCGAGTTGAGTACAAACAGTTTTGCAATAAAGAGCTCCGACCGATGCTTAAGGACGTCGTCTGGACGTTGTCCCTCGAGAACTCGACACTTGCTTTATTATTGAAAATAACATGTAACATTCATGTAAATACAATAAACACGTACACTTCACATGAATGCCATATGTATAATTTTATGTAAACTTTTTATGACAATAAAATTTCATGACACAAAAATATTATATGTCATTATTTTATTGGACGATAAACTTAATTTATTTAACGGTGTTAATCCCGAATATCAATTTGACACATAAAAAAATAATATAAATATCACATTACATATTTTAAAAAAGAGATGTCACATTAAAAATTTTATATAATTTAAAGGCTAAATATAACAGTATCCCTAGTTAAGAGTAGATCATATTTTTACATATAATCCTGTTATTTTAGAATTGTATCTGAACCTTTATATGAAGCTTCATTCATAACTGCATGGATGTTTTACTTGAAGAAAAAAAAAAAAAATATATATATATATATATATTAAAATGCCGATAAAAAGAAGTTCTCATAGCAAAGGCATAAATTCTTAAAACTGTAACAACAACAACAAACGACTGAAAGTGAATCCACTAGCTTGTCCCAGTCCCATTCAAGTAGGCCTAAAGTGGCTTTGGAGGAGGTAAATCTCTCTCATATAGGCTGGATTTTAACTGTTCAGCCCGAAAAAGCATAGTGGGAAAAATAGTGTCAAACTAATCTCTGTGAAGAGCATTTTATATGTCTATAATACAAAGAAAATCATGTAAAATATCTTTCGAGTAGATGGCCATGCATGTTAAGCAATATGATATAAAGAGACGAAGAAGCTTCAAGTAAGAATATATATGTTTTTTTTTTTTGTTTTTTTCATGTAGAAGAAGAAGAGGGAGGAGAAGCTTTCAGGGTCCAAGCATTAGGAGCCATAAGGGGCATTTGATTATAGTAAGCCATGTATGGGCTCTCATGATTGTGAACACCTACATAGGTAGTTATCACAAAGCTTTTATCGTCTCCGTCCCTTTCTATCCTCTTCTTCACATCGCATCCTCCACTTGAACATTTATAATAATTCCTGCTTAAAAAGAATTATATATATTCACATCAGCTCAATCATGATCAACCAAGAAAACAATGGGGGAATACATAATTAACATATAAATTCATACCCCTATAAATTTATTTTTTTAAGTATAGATGATTTTGGATCATTAATATAATAAGTGGTGCTTATGTTTATCTATAATTTTACTCTTTCCATCCATTCCAAGATTCATATAATATCACAACCATCTATTAAATTATAATAAAATGTAAAATATGATATTTGAATTTTAAAAATTTTTAACATAATATTTGAACTATAAATTTATTTATTAATATAGTACTTAAAAAATTATTTATTTATCATTTGTTATCATTTAAAACTAATAATATCACAAGCGAATATTATATTAATTAACAGATTTACAATTTAAATATCACGTTAAAAATTTTTAAAATTTAATTATTATATTAAATATTTTACTATAATTCAAAATTTATTTTTTATCTTAAACATCTAAAATTCGAACAGAAGACTTTTAAGTTTGAAATTCTTTTTTTTTAAATTAAAATATATATAATGGTTTGTTTACCCTTTATTACAATTAAATTAGATAGAAAGCCACAGTAGTTTGGGAGGAGGTCCACAAATGCAACCATGCCAATATTGAACTATGTAAACTTTAGTTGCAGCAAAGCATTTGCATTTAATCGGCCCCGCACTCACTATTTTATATATTTAATTTTGAGAAAGGCTCTCGAGTAGTCCTTTCACAGCTCCCATTTCTGTCTATTAATGCCTCAGACAACTCTCCACCCACTTGACTCCAATTTCATTCTTTCACAGGTTAATTTGTTATTCCGGAGAAGCCGAGAGTAAACCCATCCCAGCTTCCACTTGCTCTTATAATAGTTTTAGCTTAATTAGTTTAATTCCATCTGCCAGCTTGCTCTTAATTCTTAACATAATAAGACCACAGGCCCCCAATAATTACTTAAACAATCTATTAGGCCTTCGAGCAAGAGAGCACCGATCTACTCGATTCCTTTGGTTCTAACCTATTTTTCAACCGGAAGTTTTCTTAAGTATCAAACATTCATGATAGCTAGACTTCCAAAGAAACTAGATTCAACTAGCATAGCCAACAACTGTGTTATATGTTTTATCACAGCCTTTATCCTTTAAACCCGTCCGTGCATGCTTTTTTGGCATCATCTACCAGAAAAGAGTGAAGAATTACCGAAAGGCTGGAAACTCCAGCTCCTTTTCTCTATAGCCATATGACTTCTACCTAAATTAAGAACGAAATGCAAAGATAATTTGTAGCAGAAGAGAGAGATGGTGGGCACGAAGCGCTAGTTGCACAGGCTGCCACGAAATGCAAGGCTATGATTTCGTTTTGGGCAAAACAGGTAGGAAGGAAGAGTCAAAATGCAGTCAGATGCCTCTTGCAGTCTACTTCATGCAATTTGCTCGATGGGGCGTCCCACTTTTGCGCCCCCCCCCCCCCCCCCCTTTTCGAATATAATTTGCTACTATCATGCTCTGTGATTTGATGGGTTTGATTCTTCTGTGTGCTAAATTATATGACGGTAAACCAGTCTTCCTTCCCATGGTTTTTCTAAAACTAAAGCTAGTTTAGCATCTATTCGAGGGCGTAACTATTTGGAACAAGAAAGAATGATAGAAAGAGAAAGATTCTAGGTATAATTTTCTTATATCGACACATATGAGAGATTCCATGCATAATTTTTTATACAGATACATATTAGATGAACGTGCAAATTATTTACGATTTAATAATAATTGAAGATTAACAATTGCGAAAGACAAAGAACCAATTAACATATTGCTATAAATTATTTAAAAAATTAAACACTAAAATAATATCATAATCCAACTTGCAGCCCATTTTATAATCCAAATCCATGACATAGGTTGTCAGCACAATTGAATTATATTATTTCCAAATGAACACGAGAAAGAAATGTGAAAAAATAAAGTTATTATGAAGTTAATTATATCAATTTGGAAATATAATATATCAAATAAATGAATATAAACCACCATAGATGTATACAAAGTTATGGGGTCCCGCTTAATATTGAAACCATGATGAGATCTAGTGGTTCCAACATCAGGGAAGTGTATTATTCATATAAAAAGTTGTATATATCATTTCATGCAATAAGATAAGATAAACCCAAGTAAAAAAAAATTTATTCTTTTAAATTTGTACTAAATTTACCTTGGATTCGGACTGTTCTTCACGGACTTTTTCCCATATTTCCTCCATTTATATCCATCATCCATGACTTCCATCTCTGATTTCGTTCGAAATACAACTCGATGCCCCACTTCCGACTTGTTTTTCGTCACTCCACTTTTGCATTTTCTACAATTTTTAAGCAAAATAATTAAAGAATAATAAATTTGCTTAATTTGCTTATTTTTATGGGTTTTCAAGAAGAAAACGAAAAAGAAAAATCCCAGTAGTGGGTGCTCATATCACTTGCATGTTACTATTTTTTGATGTTGCACCACTAATTTCATTAGCGCCTCCCAAGCCCTTCTCCGATGATGCCATATTGTGCGACGACGTATCTTCCTTGAAGACGCCATCATCGACCATAAGATAATCCGACAGCTCGAATTGGACCATCGGATCAAAGTTTTCAGGGAAGAAGGTGTAATTAGGGTTAGGGTTTGAGCTCTCACGAGAAAAGTCCATTTCAAAGGAAAAGCTGGACTTTGGTCTTTGATATTGTGTAGGAAGGGAAACCTGTTAGCCGTAGATGCATCCATTTTATACGTTTATTTAAATAAATAATTTTAATTATTTAAAATATAATAAAAATCAATTTTTTTTTTAATGAGCTGCTGCTTCATGGACACTTTCCTGGATAGATGCAACGAAGCTGCTTATTTGGCCACGTGTCAGTCTCGGTTGAGTGGCGTCATGGGGGTGACGTATGGCTCAACTTTAGTGCATTCGAACTGGGCCCAGTTGCACTAACACTCACGTCTGTTGTTTTTGGTAGGCGGTAAACATTGTCCCTAGGAGAAAGTATTGTATCTAAGTTACTTAGACCACAAATTTTGGTCTATATGTGTGCCCTATTTGCGTGGCCCTTCTTGATTGGATTACATTTATCCTGATCATGATTCATTTCACATGATTTATTGTACACAAGTAGTTTCATATAAAAAGGAAAAAAGTATAGAAATAGAGCTTTCACCTTATCAACTCATTTCCCTAAAAATTATTATAAAACTTTGCTGTGATTTAATCTCATTAACAAAATATAAAAATTAATATTCTAAAAAAACTATTTATAAAACCGCACATGGGTTATGATTGAATCGACTATTTGACCAATTGACCAAGTAGAATGCCAAAAGTCAGTTCTTGGATTAAAAAAATAATTTTATTTGGTGTGAAGGCAATAAAATATTGGTCAAGTGATGAAAAAGAAATGAAAAAAATTTCGAAGATAAATAAAACATATCTATTTTAATTTTAGTCTTTTGTATGAATTAGAAGGATTCGAGATTATAACTTCACGTTAGGACTTGAATTCTATAATATATGTTATATTCAATAATTAGCTGGATCACCGTTGAACAAAATTCAAACTCAATCAATTAAGAATTTGTAAAGTTTTTCAATTTTATTTAATAAATAAGGGTTCACATTTGACAATGAAAGTTTGAGTAAAAAGCACTAATTGGATTTTTTTAATCAAGTTAGAAGCATAAAAAAATAATTATCATAATCAAGTATTATATTTATATAAAAAATTATTGAATTAAATCATATCAATAAGTCAATAATGAAAATTTAATATAAAATTAAATTAAACTCATAGCGGATTCTTTTAGTTATGAAGTATGAAGTTCTTCACCTATCTTTCATGTATAATGTCGGTTCTAACCTTAAATTTAAATTTTCTAAGACTTTACTTGATAGAGTGAAAAAATGGAAATTGAAGGGGTGAACAGAAAAATGAAAAACAAAAAAATTTTATCAACTCTTGGTAAAAGAGAAGATGGGATGAAAGAAAATATGATTGAAAAGATTATTTTCAAAACAAATCATTTTAAATTTAAAACATTAGAGAAAAAAATGAGAGAAATATGAGTTAGATGTTACAAAATTTACAAGATTATCTATTCTTGTTTAGAATTTATCTTTTTATCTCTATTTGCAAAAGGAATATAATGAAAAATAATATAATTTTTATTTATTTTTTCTTTTTTTTTTCAAATCGATCAAATAACAAATAAGATGAAAAAAAAATTTCATCTGTTTTACAAAACACACTACTAAAAAACATTTATTTTTTATTTTTTCCTCGTTGAATTTTTAAAAATTAAATTATAACCAAAGTTTTACTTCTATCCTTCTTTTTATTGAGCAAAGCTTAAATAGTAAACTCCTTATAAAATGTCAACATGATTTTATTCTTTTTTAAATAAGATAATTAGATAGGACAAAATTTGGGTCATTCATAATAGTAAGATGTTGGTGACATATATTTTCAATATGATTTTTTTAGTACAAGTTTTTCTCCTTTCTTGCTTTTTGGTTCGAATAAAACCGAGCATTTGAAAACAAAAAGAAGGTGAAGACAATATCTCTTTTAACGGGACAATATCATGTGTTTATGTTTCTCTTTAAGCTAGACAAAAACATAAGGGGGAACTAACCTTTTTCTAACATATTATTATTTTTTAAATAAACTCTTATGCTTTTAGACTTTTTATTTTAAGGTCTCAAAATTACATTTTCTTTTCGGTTTTGGATACTCTCAAATTTTATAATATTTTATATTAATTTTTATATTTTAACTACTTTTTGATATTAATAATTATTAATATGATACTAATTTTTATAATTATAAACTACATTTAAGTTATATTTTTCTTAATTATTTTATTGACAAATTTATTTTTTATTCTTAATCTTCCTGATAAAACAAATAAAAACTAAAGATTTTTTTTTTATTTTTGTGATTTGTTAATAAAATATTAATTTTTAATTTTAATGATAAAGATTCTAATAATTTTAAATATTAAAAAAAAATAAAAAAGAGCCTACCATATTAAAAATTATAGACATAATCTCTGCAACTTATATTGTAACATGATATGGATTCATTGTTGAAACAAGTAATTATTTATTCTTAAAATTGTTAGAGATTGAATTTTAATTATTAATTTAATAAAAATTTAATTATTAAAAGTAAAATTTTAATATTTTATTAATAAATTATACGATTATTGCCGATAAACAAGTGGCATGGGTTTTCAATCTTATTTTGTTCCTACTTTGATTGCTTTAGTAGAATTTGACGCCACCTTGAGCACGTCAATATAGAGTCAAAAAGCAGATTCTAAGGTCAATCGGGCATGAGTGTCCAATGGGTCACGAACTCATGACATGAAGAGGCAGTAACAAGGAAATCCAATGAAATAGACCATTTGTTCAATTTATTTATTTATTTATTTATTTTACTTAGATATTGCATTTGTCTTTGAATTGTTTTTGGTAATAATAAAAGTGATGTGAGAAAGTGCAAGGAAATGTCCTTGAATTATTTTGGCATTTGAATTAGGGTTTTTGAATTGGCAACGAGGAAGCTTCAGTTGACAGCACTTGCTACACAATTTTTTAAAGATTTTTCCACTTTTTGTCGCTTACTGATTTTGGCCCATCACAATTAAGATTTAGATCAAGATTAATTGGCTATTGCTTTGGTAGTAAAGCCTTTCCTTTATTTATATTTATATATTATATATATGTAGTTGCCAAGCAAGTTCACATTTACATTTTGGTGGGTATGGTTTCATTTTGATTTTATCTTCTGCCTCCGTTAGCTTCAACCCAAATTCAAAATTTTTATATAAAAGATATCGTAACTTGAAATATAAAAAAAAAAAAAAAGAAAAAATTGTTGCAAATATTAAAATTGAAATTACCTAATAAATAACACTTCTTAAAAATAAATATATGAATTAAATATATTCACAAATATGATTAAAACAACTCTATATGCATATAATTACTAAATTTTAACCTCAAATTCAATTCAGTATTTATGCATAATTTTAAAAAAAATGAAATATCATCAAATTATGTTAAAAAAAAATCATAAGTATCATGTATAACTAACTATAAAATTTAGATACCGTAGTCCGATCATGAAAGATAAATATTTCTTAAATCTCAAGAAAAGAAGTTGCACAATCACACTTTACTTTCTTAGTTACTCGTGAATCATGCAATCACTTCAATTTGTAGCTTAATTGAAACGAGAGATGAGAGCTAACCCCAAGAGTGTAAGAAGTAAGAACCAATATTAATTATTATTATTATTATTATTATTATTATTAATTTTTTTCGTGGCTTCATAATCTTCATGTATATCTTTGTCATATATATCTTCTCAATCTTATCTGAATCAACCATGAATTAGACTAAACATATTATAGTAATTCACTCAGAGGGTATGAATGCTACTTTCTTCTAGAAAAGCTGAAAAGTATACAATCTACTACATGACTGGATGGGAAGACTTGGACCTTCATAAGAAAGGAACAAACGAGAGAAAAGTCAGTCAGTGAAACAAAATAACAAATCAAGTAGCATATTTATTTTAGTGGGGCTTCAATGATTGTCGGAATCCCCCACACTGATGTCGAAGAAAGCACTTTCCTGGAATTGGTGTTTCCCACCCACCTCCTTATTTATGTATATATCTGCCATTGATTCAGGATTTTATTTTATTAAAACCACACTGCAATAGTACTGCAAATTTCTGTACTTTTAGTCAGCGATTTGGCTAGCACTATCACCGCCATCCTGGGGTTCATGGTAGTTTCTTGGTGTTGACTATGGCGACTTATAAGAGAATTTATATTGGGATACGAAATAATGAAATGAAGATTGATAGCCCACTTTCGTTGCACAAATTGATAAAATAATAAAGTGATAAGTATTCAAGTGTCATCTCTCACAAGAATTATAGAATGTAATGTTAGGTGGATTCAAGCACCAAAAATGATAATTTAATCTTTTATATCTAAACAAATGAAAACTTAGGGTGATTTGTAAAATAAAGAATGAGAGCAATGTAGGTCTAGATCTTTACTTCACCAACTATCACTAGGTAAATATGAGATAGTAGCCAAAACTAGATCTAAGAAAGTTAGGATTGAAAACTTGAAAATAATGAGAACTAGAGATTGCCAAAAGTAGGGTTGCATAAAAGGAAAAAAGGAAGCAAGAATTGCATCATGAAACTGAAAGTTTGTATGTAAAAGACTAATAGCCAAAACTAATATTATAATAAACAAAGATTAGAAAACAAAGATTGCATGAAAACAAGATTAAAGTAGGAAAATAAGAATGATTGCCAAAAACAATAAAAGGCAAAATACTTTGTAAACACTAGAATTGTATGCAAGAATATTTTTGTTAAAAGAAAGTTTAAAAATAATTTTATTATCGGCAAATTTGTCACCTAAGCCAATAACTAAGAAAACTAAGAGAGCTAAAAAAAAAAAAAGAAGAAAAGAAAAGAGACTAAAGAAAAGAAGGAAAGAAGAATGGTGAAGAGTCTAATCTTTTATAAGTGAAGAGACCTTGCCTACTTATAGGCATATGTTCTGCTAAAGGGATAAAGATTACAAAAAGTTAAATTTAATTCAAATCCTAATGAATAAGGTTAATTTTTATCTTTAAGGAGTTGGCCAAACATAGATTCTT